CATTTTTCTTCAGCTCTAGTGTAGCACAAATTAATTCATGATCACTTATGGATAGAGGAACCACCTTCGTTTCGATTACAAGGTTTCCGTTTGTGGCAAGGACATCAATTAGAGTTTCTGAAGTTTCTGTTATTCTTGTTGGCTGTGCAACCAGTTGTAATAGGTTGAAAGAAGAGTAGAAGCTCGTGAGAGTTTGACAAGCCAGATCATTCTCATTCAGCATATAACAGTTCAGGTCGCCTAGGATGAAAATTGGCTTGTTTAATGAATTCAAAGTGCCCGAACGAGAGTTTTGCTGGTCTGTATCAAAGCATAAGGTGCTTGCGTCTGGAGGCTTGTACACAGTGCACACTAAAAAAGACCTCGAGTTTCTGATCTGGATTTTCACCCACAACATGTGCAGACCAGAAGCAGCAATGTAAGATAGTTGATATAAGCATTCCACTTTGAAGTATTGTTTTGTAAAGATACAAACACCTGCACCAGTTTGGATGCTTGTGTCGAGTCGATGAAGATGAAAGCCGAGAAATTCTACTTCTATATCTGAGACTGTGCTATCAAGCCATGTTTCGCTGACGGCGAAAATATCTATGTTATTTGCGCGTACAGCTTCTTTTGCAAGTATGTAGTGCTTGTGGTTCTTCAAAGAACGGATGTCTAGATGTGCAATGTTGATGTTGTATAAAGGATCGGTCTGACAGCGACGATTCCGTTTGTCAGGTTTAGGGGAAACAGATGTCTTATCTGGTCCTTGGTTTGGGCTTATGGACCCGCTTATGACAAGTCTTACAAGTTCAAAACTTGAAGTAGAATTTGTGTAACGGTTAATGCGAGAGGCGAAGTAGCCTTTGCCGCGAGGGCGAAGGCGAAGGCGAAGGCGAAGGCGACAACAATGGCTGCCACAGCGTTCCCCCGCCAGCCCAGAAAGAGGCGTCCAAAAGTTCAGTCCGGGTTCCTTGGCATTTTCAAAATCATTTATCTTGTACAATAGGTGACTATAAAACTTTTGAGTCCCATCATGGCGAGTAATCGCGAAATGGACAGCAGTAAAGAACAAAATTGCCAGAGCTACCGATGAACACCTACCTACCGCCATGTGTAATGAACCGACTGTGCGACCGTTCTAGAAGTCGCGCGTAGGATAAATTCATATATCTGAACTGCGGTTATAGAAACGTATTAGTGCACGACCCTCGCAGTTAGTAGGAAGTTGATAAAGAGAGGTCTAAATTGCATTCTTTTCCGTCAGAATTGCCTGGTTAATACAAGGACTTTATCAATCCTTTTGAAAAATTCACCTAGGGAAGTACTCAACAGAGACTGGAACATGTCTTAAAATACAGATTGTGATCTTCTTCTAAGGAACGTGAAGAAGCTCGAAAGTTCTTTTAGTTACAGTCTCGACCGTTCTAGAAGGCGTGCGTAGGTTAAAATATCTGACCCTGGCCAGAAAGAAAATGGTGTTCAAAAATTTTAGCTTCACCTATTGTTGAATAATTTTATCATAATTCCAGACTATTGTTGGTATTTTTTATCAACCTGTTTAAACATTGCGTTTTTATGGTGAAATAAAGCTTGATAAAACAAGAACAGCAGGATATTGTCGCGCAGAGTAGCTCAGTGTTTCACCTCTTTTTTTTTACCTCAACATACATGTCACTGAAATGATAACTTTACCGAGCATCATGAAATGAAACTTTTTTGTTCTGTCTTCAAATTCAAATTACAATTATATTAAAAACATCATTTTAACAAGCACAGATTAACAAACACTATACGAACGAATTTCAATTCTTCTTTGCCATAATGAATAAATTATTATACTTGGATCATTTTGTTTGAGCGTATCGTTGCCCTATATTATATGGTAAAGCGGCGTGGTAGTGGAATAATGATTGGATTTAACTTCTTTTGCTATTTGTTCATCCATTTGCCATTATTTTAGAAGGTTACATATCAAACTGAGTAACCCAGCTTGGAAAAGCCCCCTGGGTACAAAGACGCACAGTGAGAGTAAAGGTCTCCAACCCAGACCTCTCGACCCGAAGTCCAGCGCGCCGATCGTTAAGCTGCCGTGCCTCCGAAAATTACGACTTGGAAAAAAAATCGGGCTAATACCCGTGATTTTAGAAATAATTTATATTTTGCATGGAAAAAAGACGAACGGGATATACATAGATATTAGTTGAAAGTGTCTATCCTAATATTTTTTCCGTCCATTAGGCATGATTCTTGAATAATAAAGATTAGTCTTAAAAAGGATCAGAGTAGTTTGCAAAAGGCAAACAGTATCTAGTCGCCATTCAGTTCTTTGGGTGAGAAAGTGGAGTGAACGGTTTCTCGCCTGACTTGTCCGTTGTTGTACAATACAACGAGTTACAAGATGTGACAAATTAATATAATTATTATATAATTGATATAATGAATATAATTACGGCACGTTGACAAGTGATGCACTTAAGTTGATTTCTTAGAAAAAATGAACAGGCGGTTAAACTTAATTAAAAAAAGGCAATATACAACTTTCATGGTATGCCTGACGTCTAGAGTTTCTACGAATTACGCTTTCATCACTCAGTTGCTGATACAAATGTCGACCTTTAATAAGCTTGCATCTCAAATTGCCGAGTCAATGATGACACATATGTGAAATCTTATTCGAATCTCGTTTACCTAGCTTCTGTTGTTTTTAGTTTATGTAACACATATTCTGATGATTACCCTACCATAGTTTTAACTGTGTTCGATTAACCAGTCCCCACTAAAGTCAGACAAATTTATTTAGTAACGCAAAGTTAGTAGTATGCCAACAAGACCAGGTTTGTCTTTGAGGTTTTCTTAATAAGTTTTTCTCTCGAGTTTCTGGTTATGATATCAAATGCCATATGAACATTTTTAATTGGTTTTTACTGAACCGACCATAATCACAGAGAAGGTTCCGAGGTCCACAGGTTTTCCACTGTGATTACCTATTATTCTTGATGGATTCTCATTTTCTGTGTTAACGTTACAACAACTTTCTTCATTTCAGTTCAACTAAATATCAGATATATGTTTTCACCTGGTTTTCACGGCTCCAATCATCATCTCAGAGAATCTCAGTTGTGCAGATGTCCAGATGTCTACAACGTTAATTTCCAATTCTGCTCACTCCGACTCAATTTGCTTGTTATCGTTACGTTCGCCTACGTATGCATCTTTTTCCAACTCACCATCATTTCGGTATATTTGATACAACTTAAACGATCGACTGTGACAGCCGTTGATTGATGATTGTACATTTAACAATTATACACTTTAGTTAAAGTTAAAAGTAACGTGAATCGCACGGATTTTTAGGATTTTAGCGAAACTTCCAATGAAAAGCTTTGAAACGAAATATGTTTTTACACACAGCTGTGTTTTAAAACCGTGAACGGAGAAATAGCTTTTTGTTTGTCACAAACCGTGTAGCGAAGTAAGTCACGTGAAAACAAAGATCGACAAAACAACTTAAATTTATTTAATGCTTCAAAAGATATCTGAAGATTTTAAAGCAAAAACAGTGTTCTTTAAGTTATTGATCTAATGGGCCACAATTGCATGGTTCCATTGACTTATTTTTCCCCTTAGACGCCTTAGGGCTGCATCGCAGTTTGCTGTCGGAACTTGCTACCTGACTTGTAAAATCCTTATTCATGAAACGACCAAAAATGAATCTGTAAATTCAAATTCAGGAACCATCCTATGCATCTCAAGAACAAAGATGTAAACTTCTTTAATTCTACTCGTAATCCTTTTGATCGATGTTTCAATCTCCGGTTATATACCAAATGGACTGAAAGAGTCACAAACCAATTACAACTAAGTTTCATTCTTTAGCAACAAAAACAATCCCTAGTGAAACATTTGTACTCGAGGCAAACATATCAAAATTGAAGGGTGAACTGCTGAAACGATTTATTGGTTGTGTTAAAAGACTACATGTTCTGAGGTAAGGTTTGTGAGTAACCGAGTCGGACTCAACTTAAATCGGCTTTTATTTGGAGATCAATGAGAATTTTGTGCGCTCTTATGTAAAATTGAATTATTTTTCTACACCTCAATCGATTTAGGAAATCTTTCACAGTAATAAGGCTTTCATGGTTTTTCTTTTTTTCATCATTGTTGTCGGAAGAAAATACGGCAAAGTCCAGCTGTGATAGTTTTCGAACAAATCGTGATCTGAACGAACGTCGAACAACAGATATTGGTCCACTGAGAGCACTGAGGAAGGTGACTGAATTTCAGCAGCAAATCAGCACTCGTGGAAAGTGCTAGAATAAACTGACTAGTGCCGGGATAGCACTGGATTAGTATATTATTGACTGATGGATGATAGCATGGTTAAATTTCTCAAACGGTAGTTGCAAGTGAGCCCTGAAGCAAGCGAGGGTCTACAAGGATTACGAGAATACCACGCACAAACTCACTTCATATCCGGTAGGCTGTATCGGCAGAGTCCTCGTCCGATAGCTGAACCTGAGAACACCTCGAAAGCCAAGCCTGTGCACAGGTATCGCTTCAAAATGAAACGGGAAGGTCTTTGTTTACAATTCACGGCGATTGTTTATACAGTGCCGTAAGAAGCATTCGTGATAGCCTTTCGATTGCGCGCAACTAAATTAATCCCTGGACAACAGTTCTGTGTTAAGTGGACACCAACTCAAACAGTTTAACAACTTCGTTTAACCACTACTCTTTCTCAGTTGCATTAATATTTATCACTGGAAATAATTCAACCAGGAAAGCGCTCCTTGTCTTTTCATTTTATCCTTCAGTTGTATGAACACATGTACATTTTATGATACTTCCTTTCTAATAGGGAAAATGTCTGAGAGTGACATATGTTAAGGGCGTTTGACTTCGCTCCTGATAAGCATTTTGTTCGTGTGGCGTCGTTGTAGTGAGCCTCATCTTTTCGTATTTATCGGTAATCATTCATGTATCTTTACCGCATCATTAACAATCATTTTTGCGAACGAAGGAAGGAAAATTGAATGCCGGACTATTATATCACGCTTGAAATTGATCTGTCAGACAACTGAATGACAAATTTCAGTGAATTCTCAGTTAACAAGCAATGATCGGTCAGGTAATATGAAATGAGTTCTCTTACTTCAGAAATTACGAAAAGTTATGGCCAACAGAGTCGCGTCACTTGTGACTGAACAACAAAGGAATACCAGACTAAAAGTTGCCCTGACTCCGTTCTAACAAGTAATTATGGAAAAATCATAGATTCTGTTCAATTTCAAGATAAAAATACATATTAAGAATAAAGCGTAAACGATATTGAAAAAAAAAAAAAAAAACAGAAGTCGTTAAAAATGCAAAAACCAAAAGGAAACAAGACAAAACAAACAACCGAAAAATAAAAATTTACAAAACAGACAGTTCGACTTTACGTCATGGGAGTGCTTACTGAAAATCGATCAAGGGCTAAATGCATTACTAAACTCTGCCCGACATCCTAGCTCATTCTTTATTTCATTCCTAGACAATGTTAAAATATGTTTGATTCAAATTAGCCGAACAGTTCGGTGATGTATTGGAAGAGTTTTGAGCTCACATCATTGAAACTTCAGCCATTGATTTATCTATGAATAATACCGTAGGATGCGGCGATCCTATCTCTAAGCCGTTTTCTGATTCACAACAGACGAGATTGATCTTAGAAATTAAACCTTGAATTATGAAAAAACCTGTATGACTTTTTCTTCTAAAGAGCAAATCGTCCTCTCTCTTACTTTGACCTTTGGACATGCATCCAAAACACCAAGAGAAACTGGGTATCTGTACAAATCTCAGAGACTCGATTCTACGCAAGTGTACCACGAACAGATTGAAAGAGTAGATCGTTTTTCCATAACTTGTTCATCGTGTCACACGTAGCTAGCGAGCTCGTTCGAGTTCAAGTTTCATTTTGGTACACCAAAATATCTGGTGGAACAAAATAGAAAGTTGCCTGCTGTTGACGAGAACATATCTATGAATTGACTTAGCCTGAATTAACTTTCTCGAACGCCGAGCATTGTCGAGTTTCATAGACATCAAATTAATGATGTGGGCGTAAACAAGTGAAGTGCACTTTTCGTTATCACCAACAAAGGGTCCTAAAATAGATACAAGAAAAGCAGCGGGGCGTCCGAAGGCAAAAGCAATCCAATGGTTACAGTTACTTTCAATGATACTGTAGTAAATATGAGTACACATTTTGAAAATTATATCAACAATTGTAACTGTTCACTTTTGAAAATGTATGTTGACTAGCATACGAAACGTCAAGTTGTATATAAAATGCATTGGAATACAATGTTTATCACCGCTATTTGTCTTATTTTCTCAATCAAACTTCCCTCAAATTCATTCAGAATTAAAGGAGTCGCGTCACACTATGTTTTGAGCCCCTATTTGCAACGCCTAAACCGGGTCTATGAATAGAAGGAAACTATTGGAAAAAAATTTTAGGGAAGAAAAATCCTAGAAAGGGAACGATAAACCAAAAAGATACCAAAATGAGCCTTCATTTTTAAGATGCACCAAGCGTGGCCGGCATCTGTCGAATCCAATAAGTATGCAGTTCCTCAGTTCACCGATTGGGTCAAACAGCATAATTGTGGTCAGCAACCTTTCAACAAAGAAATTGAAAAGTAATTGATTAAATGTAGGACATCCTTGTAAATTGACGAAGTCTTCGGATTTGTTTGATCTTAGTTGACCTGTGCTCAGTTGTCAACCAAACGTTTAGCGTTTAGGTTGAATGTGGATTATTGTCATGTCTTGCTTGCGTCTTTACCTTACATCCAATCCGATATTGTTCAAAAGTTGTTTCACATATTTAAAAGATCAATGTATCCTCCATATCATTTACTATCCCTTCTCCTGTTCTTTTATAGATATTCTGATAAGACTACCGATAGAAGTCCCAGATTGTTTTCATTGTTTCTTTAACAACCACTCGACCGGTGTGTCTTTGATCCGCATTTATAAAAAAATAAGTATTTAGCTTCAATTATGAGCGCACAATTTCTTCTGTGGTTTTAATGTGTTTTGTTAGATGTTTAAATAAAAATAAATCGGTGTTATGGCATCAAATATTTTTGATTGATTTTAAACAGTAAGATTTTGTCTTCTGAAAGGTACAGTATGTCGAACTACAACAAAACCTGCCTCATGTGGTTTCCGCCCGCTGAATAAAGTCAACAAAGTGATAAACTTTGACATAATCTTATCTAGTTCCAGGATCGCTCTGTCGACGAATTTTAACCCGCTTCAATGTGATGGGAAGCAGCTTTGTGCCGGAAAATAACTGCTGAAGTGAAAGATTCTCCCGCAACAGCCAACTGAAATTAAGATGTGTTTTGCTGTGGCAGTTGCATTATTTTGCACCGTCTTTACAACCATTTTGGCCGCGAACAATACAGGTTTGTAAACATTTCGTTTTCAATGTATTACAACACAATGGCTGATGTTTTAGCAGTTCCAACTAAGCCTTCGTTTGGGTAAATTCTCCCAAGAATTGCAAACTGCGAGGCCCTCTTAAAGTAAAATGTGTTTAACTTTGTTTGGGTGAGTGTTTCTCAAAGTCTGGGAGTTTTCAATTATTTTCTTAAATGTATCTCGAAAACAGAAAATTTTAGCTTAAACAGAGGAGCCATTATTAGGAAAACGTCGTATATCTTACCAGGAGTTAATCCCGAATCCGCTTTTAAGCTTTCAAGAGACAAGCTCTCTTTTTACAGAAAAAAATATTTGATGCCATAACTCCGAGGAACAAAAAGGACTGACTTTGCCCGACTCAGTGAGATCCTATGTTAAACTCGACTAATGGTTATGCAATTATGGATTGTCATGCATTGAATCACTTTTAACAGCCACGCTTGAAGAAGACATCATTACCTTAAACGTCGGAATTTGAACCGGAGAACGAAACATACCAGGAGGGCTTCTATATCACTTGTCAGTTGATGGAGAAATATCAATTATTATTTCACGGCCAACAAAGTTAAGGTTTTTGATGATTATGTCGTCCAGATGTGACTTTGTTCGGATTAAGCAAATAAAACTGACGTGGAGCGATCGGGGAAATTATCAAGCCGGGTGTTTCGTGTGCGTGTTTTTCAAGAGGTTCGAAATGTCCGTTGGATTGATAAACGGAACTAAAGTTATTTCCATCAAAGGACTGTCTTCTAAAGTAAAACAAATCTTAAGATGCTTATTAATAAAATCTATTCATTTGATCCGCTCGGCACTCAAACAATTGAGTAAGATATGTACACCCGCACAAAATCACCTTCTCGTGGATAACAATTTGTCCTAACGCAAGCTAATGGATAGGATACCTCCATCAAGCTTTCAACTAAATAATGTAACACATTCCAAAGCGAATAAGCAAATATATTTTGGTAAAATTTTATCAAAAAAAACTGACAGTGATCCCCAAAGCCTACAAAAGGTTGCGCGGGATTTAAGAAGATGGTAGAGTGTTGTAGCCATATCGGCACGAAACCGGTATTGTTTTACCTTAAGTCAATTGAGATTTTCTCTGTCAAAATTTAGTAATCTACGAATCTGCGCAGATACCACTGATGTGGTCTCCCAGCTTAATCTTGATGGACACGAAGCAAACTATTCCTTACTGCGGTTATATGAAACCTTGTTTCTCCTCGTTAAAATAAACGGCCAGGTTAAAATTAGAGAAAGTTCGCCATATTTACCTGTCTTGGAACCCACCAGTATGATTAAAATCCTACCCAACTTGAACGAGGAAAAGAAGGTCGGAAGAGGGGAGGGGGTGTTTGATGTAGTTGTCTGGGTAATCAGGGCTACCCCATCCGTGAGAGGATTGATTCCTAGGCCAGGACAGTTATCGGTTACCCAATGATCAGTAGACTTGGGAAATTTTTTGGATTGTTTGGCGATACGTGTGTAAAGAAGAATGTACTTCTCCTTTATTAAAACTTCTATGATCTTAAAGATATGGTCGGTGTTAAACATTTAAAGCATCATGTCATTAACCGGCTTGTAAGCTAAGTGGACAAGATAACCATGAATTCTGAAGTTTTCTAAGGAAATTGTGGAGTGGTCACCTTTGGGTCGAGCTGATCAAAAACCAAATTGAAGAACGTAAATCGTTCTCGAAAATTTCTAATAACTCTACCCGACAGCTCTGTTTTAACATCTTAGTAAGGAAGGAGGGAAGCACTGTTTGGTGATAAAGAAAATTTGTGGATAAAGTGAGTAGCAAAGTCTCCCGTTTGGCGACTCCAAGCCCAATTTTTTCGGAATTAATGATCTTCATAGCAGCCATTGCATTAACGTTCCTTGCATTGCTTGTAATGTCATACTAACGGTACGCGATTTAAACTTACTTGCGAACTAATATGACCCATAAAACAATCACTTGGGATATTTACATTTCCTACAGCATTTTAACATGCCTCAGTCACCATTCAACTTTTTTTTTAAATACTCCGCATTGTCTAAAACTGATAACAATACTCATTTTACAAACGGTACTTGAATTATACGCAAAGTGCACTGAGATGCCGTCCATTTAGTGCGTGACTATATATTTCATTTGGTCCTTTGCATGACTCGCACAAACAAATTAAACCCTCTAGTAATATATATAAAACGTAATTAATTGAATTATTTTTCTTCGCCGTTACCATATCCATGATTTTAATCCATCACATTTATGATTATGAATAAGTTAATTAAACAACACACAGCGCTTTTAAATAAACTGACGAGTCAAAATGCCCTAGGGCATTCAATTTACTTCTTATTAACTTTGTTGATGAAGGATGACAGAGAATGATTGTTTCCAAAGTTTGAATATTGTCTTTGGGTTAAAAACTTAACAATTCGATTCCAACTTGCGACGTCTGTTTCGTCGCACTAACTGAAGCAAACTTTGGACCTCGAACTGTAACTGAATGATATTTTTCCACATCTGGACATCCTCAAGAACACTGGAAACATTTACGTGGCGGATGAGTGCTTGTAGCATTGTTCTTCAGAAGAGTTCTCTTCAAACAACTGCCAAAATATAGATTCTAAAAAAAAAAAAAAGCTAGGTGGAACGACGTTTGCCTACGACGGTAATTCACATAAATGTTCGTTATAGACAATTGTGTAACAACGTCACTGTAACTTTCCCATGAAATCGATTCTTGTCTACACCTTTAAGCATAAAACTAGAAAATGATGACGTGGTAATATAGAATTCAACTATTTATTTAAAATTGCTAAATGGTTATACAGGACTGCCACACAATCCTTTTACCACGCCATCCTCTCGGCGCCATTCTTCAACGAGCGGAATAACCCACATGTCTCCTGACCGCGAGGAGCTGACCCTATTTCGAGACTTGTTCGATGGATACGACAAGCGGTTACGGCCAGCACTGAGAAAAGAAGACAATGTTACTGTGACACTGGGTATATCTGTGCATCAACTTATCGACATTGTGAGTACGTTGTGTATGAGATACGCTGTACCCCCTTTTTGACCAAGCTTCTGAAATTAACATAACAATCTTATTTTAATCTCATTAACATATAATAACATATTAAATTAACATATCTTATTTTAATCTCATTAACATATAATAACATATTAAATTAACATATCATATTTTAATCTCATTGATAATTTTGACTGTTTCAGGTCAGCACTGAAGTCAGTGGAAACAGGCCAAAGCTAGTCTCCTTTCTAACTGTTATTTTTTGTTACGGGTTACGTCGATATTATTAAAGTGTCATCGAACTTTATCATAAAGGAACAGAAACTATATTGGGCAAAGCTTGAAAAAATGATGAGTAGAAGGTTGTTATAAGCCTAATACTTGTAGGTCCCCTGCAAGGCTTAAAAGCTCTTACCTCTCAAATTAAAACATACGATTCTTTTTGGTGTTATTTTGTTTTTGTTCGCAGGACGAGAGAAATGAGCTGATGCGACTTAGCGTGTGGGTGAGGCAGGTAAGGCTCTAGATCTCCGAGGCTCTAGATCTCCGAGTCTATCGGCCATGATCTTTACTTCGCTTTTCTAGCACCAGGGAACTACTAGAACTGCTATTCGTCTTTGAGTGCACAGGTGGTTCATTTCAGCTAACCCTCTCCCCGCAGCGATTTATCAACTTTTACCGAAATTTTGCTGATACTTATCTATACTCCAGGGTGGAGAGAGTGCGAGAGTAAAGAGAGACGAGCAAAACTTGACGTGTGTAAATTTTTACAAACTGCATGTACTGAATCAGTTTTTGTTTTTCTCTTTAGAAATGGGTTAATCCTTTCCTGCGGTGGAATGTGACACAGTACGGAGGAATAAAGACTATCAACGTGAACCCAACAGAAGTTTGGAAACCTGACTTAGTCCTTTAAAACAAGTAAGCACTTTCGTCGCAAACAGTTGTAAAAGTTGGATTATTGTCAAAGGTTTGAAGAGATGGACTACAGTTTATGTTTGATTGTTTAAAATGCTAGATGAGCTCCGCTTTCAGATTACATGAACAATATCAAAATTTGTGCGGCTATTTTCTAAGTGTATCTACAACTTTATCTCTTATTCCCCAACAGTGTTGATGACAGCACAGATGGCTCTCTGGCGAGATTTAAATCGCAGATTAAGGTTTCTAGTGACGGCACCAATCTTTGGTTGTCTCCAGTAATTCTTATAAGCTCCTGCAAGATCTACGTTAAGTACTTCCCTTTCGATGAGCAGCACTGTAAGTTGAAGTTCGGCTCATGGACCTACGATGGCTTTCAACTGGATTTAAGGCCTGAAGCGGATAAAGGCGTTTCTGACAAGTTTGTGAGTAACGGAGAGTGGGATCTGGTTGCTGTTCCCTGCAAAAGAAATATCGTCAAATACGTTTGTTGTCCAGAGCCATACCCAGATGTAACTTATGAAGTGCAGATCCGAAGAAGAACGCTGTTCTTTTTCTTCAACATGATTATTCCTTGTCTGGTTATTGTAGGTAAGCGAGTAACCGAACTTGGAATAAATAAATAAATAAAATAAAACAAATACCTTAATTGAAGCTCCCAATAAGGGCTTTCCAGCCACAATGTAGATTAACTAAGTGATTGAAAATCCCCACTAGTAGGAGGCAGACCATGGGCTATTCACAGAGCGCAGCCGCGGAGTTGAACTAAGGACACTCGAGAACAAATCCAGCGAGTGGCAGGGTGGAGAACTTGAACTCGGAACACCGGATTACAAGTCCAGCAACCTAACCACTCGGCCACGCCGCCTCCACAATATACACCTTAATCAGAAAGATTATATGCGAAATTTGCTTATAATATAGGGTACATGTACTCAATTTGCATAGCACTGAACAAGGGTCTCCTCCATCCTAACTGTTCACCACAGTTTGATTATCAACTGCAACAACTTTGTAAAGATTAGATGTTGTTTCTCCCCACAGGTCTGACAATCTTGTCCTTCTACCTACCACCTGACTCTGGTGAACGCATCTCCCTGGTCATCACTAATCTTCTTGCCATGACAGTGTTCATGTTGTTGGTGGCTGAGATCATTCCCCCAACATCAGATGCCGTATCAATCATCTCCACCTTTTATTCCTGCTGTATTTTTGAGGTATTTTTCCATCACGACCAGTAGTAAGCTTTGGTACTGAGTGGGTAACAGTGACTGGTGTATAATGAGAACCTGGAAACAACATTAAAATTGTTGGATAGGGGGTTAGTTTGATAGATCTCTGAATGAAAGCTACGACAACGCGAAAAATGTGGAAAGTATAGACAATTATATTAGATATTCAGAGCGACAAAAATTAAATTTTACATATTCCGTTGGTTTAGATACTCTGACAGCTACATCTAAGTCGGAAGGAATATATTAACAAACTCTTGTAAAGCGAAAAATATGAAGCCATATTAAATTCAAGTTCCCTTTCCTCACTTAGGCAGCAGGAAAAGAATGATAGGAGAAACGTTGACTTTCTGGCATCAAATCACGTGACCGCTAATGATCCTAGTTATTGAAACGATGATCAATTTTCCTTCATTTTTGCAGGTTGGAATTGCTCTTATTGGGACATGCGTGGTTCTCAAGTATCATTTTTCAAATCCTTCTATTCACAAGATGCCAAATTGGCTTCGCTTTGTGGTCCTCCACTGCTTGGGGAAGCTTTTTCACAAGAAACTACGCGATAACAACTCAGAAAACCCACTAGAAACAGGTGCCCCATTCGAAAAACGTAAACTTATGAGGTCAGACAATGGATACATCGAGGCGTTTTCACCACGAAACGAGGCCCTGAATCAAAGATTTGGTTTGCTCGAGAGAAGACTCTCTGGTTTGGCGAGCGGAAAGTGGACCACTGAAGGAATGACGTCTTCAGACGACAGAGAACATAGAAGATCCTATGTTGGTAAAGACGTCACAGAAGAGACGCGATATGATGACCAGAACTCTCTGACAAAAGCAATTTCACATAAGCAGGGAGTTATTGCTAGTGCTTTAGAAAAGCTGGTGGAGGCTCAGGAAGCGCAAGATGAAGAAGGGAAGCAACGCGAGGAGTGGATGATGGCTGCGTCAATCGTGGACACCACATGCATGTGGATTTTTACACTCACTTTGATAGCGTCGCTAATTGCCTTGTTTTTTCAAATTCCAAAATATGATTAAGTCACGAAAGGAGGTCGTTAGTAGATTTGATATTCTTGACTGCGTTGCCTTGTATGACAACATATGACTATTTCACGAGCATTGATTGAGGCTGGTAAAATTTGACCTCCTTTCGTTATTGACTCGGTGACAGGCTCTGCAGGGTTATCGAGAAATTGACGTTCATAATTGTTGAGAATTGAAAGATAATTTGTCCGTAACAACTCTTTGCCGAACCTTTGCATTTATTACGACAAGATTGTTGACGCTTTGATCTTTCTAGCCCCCCTATTACTTCAATTGTATCTCTTTTGCCCTCTTTAAGTTAAGCATTTCTGCCCCTTCCCCTCCCCCCCCCAAAAAAATTGTTGTATCGTGATGCCATTAACGTTTAACCTACATGGAATGGGGAGGAAGGGTCTTAAATGATTTAGAGCGTGATAAAGACAGGACTGTTATTCTTTACATAAATAGACCTCTTCAATCATGATGGGTCAACTAATTTTGACGCTGATTCAGTAGATGTTAGACTTTGCTGTTCTGTCAAAATAGCATGCTGATGAAAAGGCAGGGTTTAAAGTGATTCAACTAAGCTTTTAAAACAGACTGAAATTCTACCCGTGCGTTTTTCTGAGACAACACTGTCACTCAATTTCCGTACGGTGCCCTCCTTAAAAAAAACACTGGAATTTTGCATCCTTCACTGACATTTCGTGTAGTATAGATATTTTACGCTGTAAATAATAGCTCGCAATATAATCGGGTCTCGATTTACTTTTTATTCGGTCCCATTGTCTTTAGGTCCATTTCGGATTTTGTTCTAGTTTTTGAGGCGTTTTAGTTCGATTGAGTCGGATAGATCGAACTCAAATTAGACCATTCATTCCCGCCTTGGGTTTTTCAAAAAAGGTTTTTTTATGTGATAAATCGACTTTCTTGAAGACAATTATCGAGTGACGATCACATTTAAAGAACATTGACATTATTTAGCGGGCAACATCTTGTTTGCCTTGTTGGATTCGTTTATTTTCTTTTTTTTCTTTTTCGTTTCGTTTTGCTAGTTTTTTCGTGGTATTTTTTTGTGTGGTTAGTATTTTGTATACCATTTTTTTGTCTGCTTTTTCCTTTTTTCGGAGACTCTCTATGTGATCGTTAACATTTACGGCTGAGCTTTGAGGAAGATAGTTTTGACTTAAACATACATTGTTTTCAACCACTCCGTCAATCTGTAGTGAATGTGAACAAAAATCAGTATATACGTTATAGCCTCGAGAGTGATAGTCTTTGTTGCTCTTTTTCTTTTTTTTTTTTTTGGTCAATTTCTAAATATATCACATCTTTTAGTAAGATTAATCACGACATTCTCATTGATTTCTCAGAAAATTAAAAGAAAGATAGAAGCTATGGATAATGTGTTCAAGTAAATGGTTCTGTTTTGTAATTTTTCAGTTGGTCTATAGATGTAAATTGAATAAACGATTTAAGTATGTTTAAGTATGTTTAATGGGATGTACACGATAGTTATGCCGAGACATTCTCGTCTAATGATAGTTTTATTAAAGGAGCAAGCAAATGCAAGCTGCAATCCTTGATCAGAGAGCGAAATAATATTTTATGTGAGCGAAAAGCAAACCAAGAGGGCTTGGGTATCACTCCTGCAACCGAGTTGTGCAACCTAGAAGCACTTCGCATCTTTCTACCTTGATACCACCTAAAACTTCTTAAAATACGATTCTTGGCACCACACCCAGACGGTTGCAAAACATTTTCGGAGATATCCACTGTCTCCGAAAATTTTTAAAGTTGAGAAATTGAAATTGAAACTGCAAAAATCACAACAGTGATGCCATTTCTAACGCACCAAGACGTTATTTTATATTGAAATAAAGCGTTAATCGTTCTGCTTTTCCTCTTCCTCCTTGCAGTTTGTCTTTAGCAGGGTCAGACTGTCAAAAAAAATGTAAGTGATCTCTGGCTACAAGCAGTGAGATAAATTAATGCCACGTCACTGATAATAAATGTCTTTCTGGACATGCGCCAGCTTTCGTATTACACGCTCACGATTTAGATATCAGGAAAAGAAACTCAAAACAGCTTGGAATTCCTGACGACTTTAGGCGACTGGATTTTAAACTAATTTCTGAAGGAATTATTAACCCCAAGAACTCGGTTTGGTTACTTTAAAAAGTAGATATCTGAGTGATAGAAACTCTCTCTTCTGAAAGGTCTAAGTTCAGTGTTATCTTAATCCATAGGTGACACAAAATGAAATCCACATATATATACACACCACGAGCAAGCTCCATCTTCTGTGTGTGTTCCCCAGTTGAATTTCGCTGAAAGTGTTGCGAATAGGTGACGGTTGAATCTCGTCATATCTTTCTCTTTTGTAAAAAAATCTTCATTGGGCTTTGCTCCTTTATCGCTTTTTAAAACCGAGTGTAAAGGTGGGACAGCTGAGTGGAACACTCAGCCTTCATGGCGCCGTATATTCACTTTATTTGTTTATACATGTGTTAGCCCACGTTGTATTGTTCCCCGATAAGAAAGTAATTTAGTTAAATTCCGTCAATTGCTGATTAATACGGTCCAGCGGAACTTTAGTCTTATGACATTCAAAATTTTCAAAGAATGGTGTAGAAAAACATTTTTACTTTTAATCTTATTTAGATGTGATAACATAGAAAACTGACGGTCTAGTTATTTCTAGTTTTAAATTTCTATGATTTATTACATCTGTGTGTTTTCAAACGAGCGGTCTTCTCTAAATGCTTTGATGGCAAGAGGAGAACTTGTGCCTCCAAAAAATTTAACACTTCTTTTTTTGTCAATCATTCGCTGTGATATGCGTGTAAACATTACAACACCAATTTATTTCATTGCCACTGACAAGATTTGAAACTATTCGCTGAATTCCAACTACTGAGCCGTGTTATTAGGGAAATTTCTATTGAACTGCAGTCTAATTGATCTTTTGTTTCACCTGTAAGAAAATATATCCGAAACTGCCATGATACCTGATCAAGCTTGTGACAATACTAAACAAATACTGCAGTAAAGCGTTTAGCACATAAAGACATACTTGCTTTAACTAGAAACGAAAACCAAGCTCAAAACTTTTACTTATTGAGCGAAAACAGAATGTGTTAAACTATTCGGCGTTTTTTTCTTTTTTTTTTTTAACGAATGTGTAGCGTTTGCATATATAGTTTGCACCAACTTCATCAATCACGCGAGAATTGTTATGGGTTTATCTGCTATCCCAGTCAGAAGAAAACGTACAACTTACAACAAGAGAAAAGTACTAACAAACTTAGCAGAGAAGAATCTAAGACTTGGTCTATCTGAATGAGTCTGGAAATTTATGTGAAAAGAAACACGAGGAACATAAAGTCCACGTGTCCTGCGACAAGATGAACACGACATTTCCTGTGACAAGTGCTAATCAGATAAATTTTCGCACAGTAGGTCAGGAATTTCTTTGAAGTGTAATCCACCTTAACCTTATTATACTTCTAGTGGATTTTGTTAATAAGACCTGGATTTTGATGTGTTTCAGCAGCTAAATTGTTGAAAGGTAACTGCGTCGAGCAATTGAAAATTGATAAGGTCAAGCTATCCACAACGCTATCAAAGCGAACTGTGATTTAGACGCCAAGAAACCGAGGTAAACCTGGTTCGGTAGGTACCTGTTTTTAATAAGTGTATTTACTGATTGTGCGTCGGTCGATCGAAATTAATTTTACGTGCAGTTTTGGAAAATTTACAGCGCAGATTTGATACCCAGGAAAACATGGCAGTGTGAAGCGCTAAGAAGTAGCTATGCGCGAAAAAGTCTATTTCAGTCATGAATCAAACTGGAGATAACTTGGAATGTAGTGTTTACATTATGAATTATTTGACTCCTTCAAATAGTAGGGAATATTATTGTCATTGACTTCAGAAGGTTTTAGAGACCGAGACATCTTTCTCGGGCTTTTCTCAGTTCTCTGATCTCAGGACAACAGAGCACAATGAACCAGCTCAAGATAATTATTTTAGGAAAGGTCCATTTTAAAATGACCGTACCTACTCATCAGTGAACAAATCCAGTACAATTACAGGGTTGAAAATTGAACACATACATGACGCGAATTTTGCCTTTAATTGCATCAGCGTTTTGCCTGTTGATGACCTTTTTACTTATTATGGTTAATTCAGGCCAAGAAAGAAAATGGAATTGCTCACAAAACAGCGCAATGTTAAATGTGTTCCCACTGCGATAATTTGATGAGTCCGGACATTTTTATAAATGTTTTTTTTTTTTTTTTTTTTAAATATAATAGTGCCTCTCTAAGTTCATTCTTTTTCCATTTTGGGTCTCATATCATAGGTAAGTTAGTTTATTCTTTCATCGCCAAACTTAGGGATAAAGTCATTTCTTTAAAATGGAAAAATTGTGCAGACAGTATCTGGAGAATTTTGAAATTCCGATCTTGAAGATAAAATGCGCTGAAACCGCAAGGGTCTTTATTGATTTTTAACATTTCCTTTTTAAAGATACGGCAAAATTATGGTTTCTCCGGCAGTGAATAATTCTTCATGAAGGTGGTGTTATATCAGTCATTAGCAATCACGACACACTACTTGTGTTGCACAGAACTATTCGCAATTTCCTTGAAACTGAAAGCGGAAACTTTTAATGGTCTGTCATCATGTTTACGCGGATTAACTAAAATTCGGATCAAATGAAGAAGTACCTACCTTGCTCATCGGGAAGTTGAGCACGAAAACGCACCTTTTTCCCACTACTTTCGACCCTTTTACACCAATTACAGTGTAGAGAGGAAGATATTTTCTCTTTTGTTTTAAGATTGAAATAAGATGGGTATGGTTTGATTGGAATTAATTATTGCCTTTTGTTATTACCGCTACCCTGAGCTTCTCTTTAGCTGAAAACTGGATCAGTATTAAAATAAGTTCAAGGCAAACTTAAACGACCATCAACAATTCGAAATACAAAATATATTCAGACTCGTTTGCGTAGGGAAAGAGGAAGGAAGCAGCTGATAAGCACTTAAGAAAAATTTCAAAATTTTCTTCTTTGTTTCTTTGAGCTGATTCTGCATATCATTGTCGGTGTACAACCATTAATACCTCGTTCATACTCTGGTAGTACTGCCCCAACAAATTTCTGTAAAGGGATAAACTCGACATTTAATTTCGAGCAGTTAAAATTATTCCACTTCCTCCCACAGCAGCTCTTTAAAAAACCCTCTCTATTCCCCTGATCCCACGTACTCTTTGAAAATTACTTGACATGGACGATACTTTTATTATCGCTCGATCAGCACCTCATTATATTAGTCATCGGCCAAAGGGGAGTTTGTCAATCTGTTTTGATCGAACGAAATGTACTGCGATGAAAATGTCTGACAGAAGCCCAAAGCCTCTAAGCTCATGTTTGTTCGCTGTCCTTTCTTTTCCTAGAACTTAAGCTACAAGTTGTCCTTAGTGCAAACCAGTGATGTGTTTCATGCGACCCACCATCTTTGTTTTGGTGGCGTGTTATTGTGTAAAGTCGAGCTTTGGTGAAAACTTTCAAGGTAGAGAATATATTTCACTTATTACGACCTCAAGAGATAATCAGTAACAACAGAAATGCGACGCTTCACCGTCAATTTTGTAATATACAATTTGGGCACCCTGCAAGCCACAAAATATAGGCAAATTACCGGGTAAAGGTGCCAAAGAATTGCCTTAGTTTTTATTTTCTTCTGATAGTTTATTGGCACTGACTCAAAGAAAAAAACCAAGATTTTTTTTTATGTTCACATCAAAATAAAAAAATACTTGTTTGCAGCTCGTACCGACTCATTTTTTAAGTATAATCCTAAGCAAAGGCGACAAAGGCAAGCTCTCAGGTCAAAAGAAACGAGCGCACATGGTCAGAACAGAGTAGACGGGTAATTGAAGAATGCTCCTTATTACAAGGCAATTGGGCGGTATCTAGTACCTAACAATTATCGCAAATAAAAAGAAGGAAACAAGTCGGTATTGCAATGAGCGAGCATTGTACAGCTAGCTTAGTTATAAATCCTTGCCCTCTGAATCTGCGATGTAAATTCTGACGAATTTCGAATTCTGAGGAATGTAACTATTTCTCTCTGTAGATGGCGATTACGACGAAAGACTGGTAGAATTCCTTTTGAGTCACAGCAAATCTCGTCGCCCTGTCCTCTCAATCAAGGACAACGTTACAGTACAGTTTGGAATAACTTTGAATCAAATCATAGATGTGGTATGTATCAAGATAATGTAACTTTGTCGTGATATCCCTCGGTTCCAGGAACCCTCTAGCTTATCATCTTCAAGCTTAAGTAAGGGATTGACTCTAAGAAGTGTAGCAGAAACAGGAGAAGTGGTGTTACTTCTCAGTGAGTGCTTCCTAAGCGCTTGAAAATTCGCTTGATCTATCATTCCCACTATCCTACATGTTTACCAGTGGGCTGGTTTGCAGGCCCTTGCATAATCGAAATTAGTTAAGCTAGACAGTACACTCGTGGTGCGGAATAGCAAGAAAACACTTTGTTATTCAGGGTTGTTTGTTATACTTTCTTTGCAGGTTGAAAGACACCAGATTCTAAAACTGAGTCTTTTCATCAGGCAGGTAATTTCATTACGCAATTTTATTTTAAAAATAAACGTTTTCTCAAGATTCTCAGCACAGGTCATACTACGCACACTTAAATAAATGCTTTGCAAACTGCATTTTCTTTTCGCTATGCAGTCCGTGGTGATTTCGATCTCTGATCTCTAAATCGGCGCATAGCTGTCAACAATTACTGATTGGGGGAGGGAAGGGAGGGTGAGGGAAGGGAGGGTGAGGGAAGGGAGGGTGAGGGAGGGGAATGGCTCAATCACATCTAAAATACAAGATTAACCCGAATGAAATCAAAAACATATCAAACTCAAACCTATGCATTGGCACGATGTGGAAACCAAACCCTTGTTGATACATCGAGTGAACATCAGTCGAATCTAAATGAAAGCCAAGCCGCTGGAATACTGAATTGAATGGAGCTAGTCAGACCCCATTCAATCAGCTTTTCCTTTTATTTGGACAGAAACAGTAACCACTTAACTAACTCAAAGTGCAATAGTATGTGACATACATACATACATACATACATACATACATAAACTTTAATTTTTTCTCCATTTTAAGAGTAGCTTATAGAAACTAAAAATTCCGAGAGAAAAATAACAAATAACAAAAGAAATCAACATAATATACTTAAGAAATGTTTCATGCTTAACGTGCGTATGTCGAGTTATGGATGCACGCGGGGAGTTTGGAGAGCACGAGAGAAGCGTAAAGAGTTGCTCGAGGCGCAGCCGAGAGCAACTCTAGCTTCTCTTTATATGATAGAAGAGATCGTTAACAAATATATTAAAAAGAATCGGGCCTAAGACACTACCCTGAGGTACCCTACGCTTAATAATGTTCCATGATGAGAACGTGTCACCAATCTTCACTCTCTGTTGTCGATTTGACAGATAGTTTCTTAACAAGGCACAGCTGTCCTCGTCTAGTCCGTAGGCTTTGAGCTTGGCTAATAGCAGGGGTGTTGTATAACATCAAAGGCCTTTGACAAGTCCATTGACACTATCCCTACGAGTTGCCCATCATGCATCGCGCATTGACTTCCATTCTTCTGTCATCCTTAATAACGACGTCTCACAGCCGTAAAACTCTATACGAACTTATATGATCAGACAAAATAAAACTATAAAAGTCATTCAGCAATAGGACTAAAATCCTCTCATAAATATTGTTGATTGCTGGCAAAACTGTCACCGGCCTGTAGTTTGCCTTGCTCAATTCATCATCTTTTTTATATAATGGAGTGACTTGTCCCATTTTCCACGAGGCTGGATACCTACAATTGACGACAGGATGAAAACAATATATTCCTGAAAAATGATGATTGAATATCAAAAACGTGTTTTGCAGCAAAGGTAAATCCTAAAAGAATAAAAAAGAGAAAGGACTGGTAACTTTAAGTTAAGACGACGGATGTAGCTGTAAACGACCCCCAGTCCTCCCAATTTTGTGCTCGACATAAATGAATGGCCCATACATTGTTAATATGCTACTTCAGGGCACATGTAGCGGTATGATTGATGAAAAATATGATCTCACAAAATCTGCGTGTATAGATTTTCCATGTCCAAGAATATTGTAGGACGTTTTCTGACCTTCGATTTAAAATGGTACAAAAACATGCAGTTTAGCGACGTAACATTAAGGATTCTTAACCAAAAGTCAGATTGCTTTTATTCATTTTCGATTTTTTAACTGAACATCCCAAACATTGTTATTATTGTTACCTCAGGGTAGATGCAACGGTATCATTGATGTGAAATGTGTTCTAACTAAACTCTGCGCATATAGGTATTTGTGGCTACTGTCTCGTATAGTGACTGAGTGTGTGTAACAATAGGATTCCGATCTCGACCCAATTTTGACCCGATGTTTCTTATAAGTTCAACATTCGCACTCGATACACAGTTGAGTTCTCTTCTTTTGTGATTTCTGGCTTATAGGCACTGGCGCATAATATTTTCAGTTCGTGCCGTGACATTACGGAAGACAGCAGAAGACGATAAACATCTTACAATCATTTCAGGACCGTTCGCTATTAAAAACAAATGTTTTCTTTGCAATATTATCTTAATAGCTTTTAATCGGCGTATCGTGTAACGTGAAGGAAATTTTTTTCCTTTGAAGAGAGAGCGTTTTACCGTTTAAATCAGCAAGTTCTGTAGATCTGAATATATGATCTTTTCAATTCTTACCGAGACACTACAAAAGACGATAAACAGTGGCAACCATCGACGCATTATTTGAATCAAAACCTTTTCCTTACAGAAATATCATCAAGTTCACAGGAGTCACTGACATTCTCTTCTCGACTTACTGGGGAATTTTCTTTTCCATTTATAGGTATGGGTAAATCCTTTACTGCGCTGGAATGTGAGTGATTATGGTGGAATAACAGAAGTTAACATTGATGCGGACAAATTATGGACACCTGACATTTACCTTTACAACAAGTAAATGTACTCATGATCGTCACTCTTATTTCAGCTGACGATTACAAGCTAGAAATGCGCTTTTCAATCCTGCTATTTCTTCAGTAAATAAGAGCAAGAAAATATTCTACTAGTTTTGGAGCGATTTTTAAATGAGTATTGAGCTTTACTTCGCTCTGTGACTGGTCCAGAATAATCGCGCCACTCGCTCCATTCACGAGTTGGTCGCCTGCGTTTTCCCGCGCTTTGGGCACTTTATTCGGTATTACTTTGATTTCCCATTAGCTCTTTAAGATATTTTCCTTTCTTCTGATTGGCTGTTGCGATGACTTTGGTTTTGGTGTTACGACACAATCAAAAACCGCTCTCAGACTTGATCATGATTGAAGGATAGGCCAACTTGTCAGTTAACGACAGTGAGCCATGACAGGGATAGAAGTTCTCTGATGGAACTTGTAGTTCTAAATCATGATTCTTCCGACATAGCCCAAGCAATCGTCACTAAACTTATCTATCAGCTTCAGTTGTCTTTGATAATGATAAATTGCCTTAAAAGTATGTTATTTATTGTTCAATCTATTAGTGCGGACGATTCCAGCGATGGCGCTCAGGATAGGATGAAAACTAAGATCAAGGTGAATCACAATGGCACTAACACATGGCTGGCACCCTCCATACTCCAGAGCTCATGTAAAATTGACGTGCATTACTTTCCCTTTGACGAGCAGGTGAGTGAACATTGACTCGCGGCATTTCAATTAATTATCGTAACTCAACATGCTTATCCTCTTGATCACTGCAATGTCACTGCATAGTCATAAGTGTGCATTGCATTGTTAATTTCTTACCCAGAGCAAAGACCATTTGAGATAATTCTTTCTGACGCTAAGGGAACCTTCATTATTTATGGCGGGTGAAGGACTGGCAAGAATAATAGGGGGCGTCATGATAAATTCATGAACTAAAATGGGGGGTCATTAGAAAAATTATTTGGGAATAATGTAGGGGAGTCAAAAGCCGTTTGTTGTTACATATCATCTACAAATGTGGGTTTAAGTTTGTAGAACATTTCTACTACCCGCCAATAGGGAACAATAGCTAACTTTGCATACACTGGAAAGCTATTCTTTTTCAGGCTATAATAATGTTTCTTTCGAAAACTACATTACAAGATTGCAGTAAAGGCGAGATGAGTGTAATATTTACCATAGTATTAACAATAAAAAAGTAATAAAAAGGGATAACAATGATGAGATGTTCTAAGTTCTAAGTTATTTACAATTATATTATATAGACTAGCCATGAGTTTTTGGCACGATAGGTATTCTTGGCAAGCTATGATTGTAGTGGGGCAGCAAACACAGAATATTAGAAATATACGAACTGGTCTCGGTATCTAGAAAACGATATGCCAGTACTACGTCCTGACCGAGTTCGACGAGTCAATTCCATTACTGATATGATGTCCTCCTGACTACTTTCCTTAGTCTCTGAGGAATCTCTACTACAATACGAAATTACAATGTCATCCACATAGGATATCTCATATATTATGTTACCCATTTTCTATCAACTTTAGATTTTAAACACTAGAACTGTATTGTTAAGGTGTTTTTCCAATAAAATTAAATATTTGAAAGATATTTTTCACTTCTTTTAACCTAGCTGCTTTGATAGTCCTAGGGGGTAGGGGGGCTAGCTATTTTTGCAATTACAACTAGAGGGGTCATGACATTTTTAATTCTTATAGAGCAGGGTCAGGATATTTTTTTTAGTCTCACTGTAAATCTTGCCAGCCCACCCCCTCCCATGAATAACTTGAATGAATGCTCCCTAAAAAGGGCCCAGCTATCAGTTGTGGATCGGGGCGTATCGACTGCCACTCTGCTATTTTTCGTCAAGCGGTGGCGTATAGTTTCTAAAGCTGTCGTTCTTTAGGTGAATGCTGTCGCCTCTAGGAGAGACAATTGTTTTTTTTTTTATATATACTTTTTTTATTTTCTTTGCAGACATGTTCTCTCAAGTTTGGATCGTGGACATACGACGCATGGCGTGTTGATATGAAGGCTGAAATCGCCTTGGCCGATACCAAAACGACACAAGTGAATGGAGAATGGGATCTGGTAGGATTCCCCTGTAAGAGGAATGTCATGAAATATGAATGCTGCCCGGAACCATACTCTGACGTCACCTGCACTTTAAAGCTACGGAGAAGAACCACGTACTTCTTCGTTAATTTGATCGTTCCTTGTTTTCTCATCACGCGTAAGTCAAACATATTAGCTGTAACAGAGGCTTATGAGTATATATGTTTCTTAACTTTTCACTCCTTAGGTCTCATTAGTAAATCCTACTTACTCTCTGCCATACAGTTCTTATATTGGTATTGTGTCAACCAAAATTCCCATAATTGATTTATTTCTCGATTCTCAACACCTGTCTGCTTAAAATTGCATCGATATTGTGAGGAGAAATTCTGTCTTGGTCACTGGTGGCAGTTAAAGGGTTAATGGTTGTTTGATATAATTACATGCTCATCATTCATGGAACGTGAGTTAAAGATTTTCAAAAATTGAAAGGTTTGAGCCGGAGATCATATAACAGTTTTACAAAATAAGATAAAGAACGATCCTACCCCTAATTCGATCAGCGGTGGTTAGCAATCTCTGCCTATAGCATTATGTTAACATAACCGTTTTTTTTTCTTTTTTCACTTCGGTAACCAGTTTGCCTCTTAGAGAGAGGATGCCACATCAAAGCAAACTGTCTTGCTGGAGGCATCAAAGCAGTTAAGACCTTCCAATGAACTAACCACAGATCTGAAGCGCTAACTGATGTGTTGTTTGCTTTTTTTTACCAGTTCTGTCTCTGTTGTCCTTTTTCCTACCCTCAGAGGCTGGTGAGAGAATCACTTTGGTGATTACTACCTTGCTGGCTCTGACGGTGTTTATGCTGATCGTCGCAGATATATTACCACAAACATCTGAGGTAGTGCCAATTATCAGCGTTTATTTCCTCAGTATACTTGTAGAGGTAAGTTGTAAGAAACGCTCCTCTTACTCTCTGATTTTTTACCGTATTGTCACACAGTAATACACACCGCAGTCGCGATTCTGTAGGCCAGCGGCCTTGGAGTAACGGGGCTTGAAGGCGCCGAATTTCTTTTAAATCGGAGTGGCTCATAAATAAGAAGGAATAAAACATAATGGAGAGCCAATGGACAGTTTCAGTGAGTTAGATTGAGTCCAGAACTACCTATCCGCTAACCAAACGGTTCGCTAAGAAATCAGGCGAAAGTGTGCACTGCACAAATAAGGACGTTTTAGCTCTTTTAACCACTGCTAGCGATGAGCCTACTTATTCATTTTGAAATGTGAGTTTGGTTGATTGGAAGGAAAAACTGGAATTTTATCAAATAAGAAAACTATTGAAGCAGCCAGAATAATGCAGAACATCTCGTGCAATTTGCATAATTCCTAAACTCGCAAATTTAACTCATGTTTATGTTAGAGCTTCCCTCGCTATAAGCCAGTGACCTAAATTTCTTTTGTATTTCGCAATCGTTGGGGATGCCCTCCACCTCCCAGCCTTTCGAGTCACCCGTTCATTAAGCCTTTTACCGCCTTAATTTTGCCAACTTCTCGCACAAAACTTATCTCAGCTAGAGTGACACCAGATTTGGTATCATCTACATGATCGTCAGAAATAAAGGCATGACATAAATTGTTATAGAAAATCAAATATTCATATTTTCATCAAAATATATTTCTTTTTTCTATTCCTAAAGGTCGGTCTCTCGCTAATGGCCACTGTCCTAGTGTTAAAGTGCTACTTCACCAACCCTTCGTTCTCAGAAGTTCCTTTCTGGATTCGTTTGGTAATCATCCAATGGTTGGGTAAACTTCTGAAAATCGAAGTCAAAAGAAAACGAAGGCAAATGCGCAAAAAGGAAGAAAAAGCAGCTGATGAAGATAAGAAGTCTCACCGACCCCTGTCTATAGCAGAGTCGTTGGACCCAAATTTTAATTTGATTCACCAAAGGTTCGCGAGCCGGAGGAACACAGAGGCAAATATTAACTTGCTCGAACATCACAATGCGCACAAATGTGGAACATGTCATGAAATGACGGTGGACATGCTTCATTTGGGACACGGAGTTCACTCCAGGAATATCAGTACATATCCTTCGAGGGCTTCGGTTAGGAGGGAGTCTTTATACGATAATGCTCCCATGAATGACAATGATCTCAACGCTAACGCGTCCGCAAACTCAAATCCTAACCCGCTTATCAGTGCCATGCTCCATCAGCAGGAGCACCTCGTGCACTATGTGAAGAAACTGGTGCGAGCTGTGGAAGAACAGGACGAGTATGATTCTAAAAAAGAGGAGTGGATCCTAGTTGCGGAGATACTAGATTCCTTCTTCCTCTACTTGTTTGTGATTATCATGATTGGATCCACAGTAATGATTTTTAGCGTAGGAACGTCAGTGTAAACGTAAATAATGCAGTTTGCGATTCAGGGAGGAGAACCGTGGGACGATGCCGCTAAGATCATGTTGCTTAGTCTTGTAACACTTGATATTATTTAAAATTAGAGGCGGGAACCAACCAAATGAGTCAACAGGAGGTTGAGTTAAATTTTTCAAGCATAGTTAAGTTTCAAAGAGAAAAAATAGGAATCTTGTCTAGGTTTAAATGATTCAATTATCATTAGAAAAGACAACTGGTGGATGGGTACCCAGGAAAGATGAATAAAAAATGCTTTTAGTGGAACATATGTTTATCAGTAAGATAGTAGTCCGTGGACTTACATTGTACAGAAGACAAATAGCCTTGTTATAATCATGAGCAAATCATTAACGTCATAAATCACAAATAATTTTCAATAATATAGAAAACATTTTAATTCAAATTTTGTAAACTTTACGGAAAGACATCGGACTTTTTATTAACGAGTGTTAACCATTATGTCGACGGGACCCATATCCGTTTTGAGAAGGAAGAACCATATGGCCCCTTGATGAAGGACCATATGGCCCTTTGTTATAGGGAACCGAAGGAAGGAGGGGGGGGGAGGGGGCGGGAGATACAGATAGAATTGTCTGGCCGCCTGAAAGAACCGGACCTTTCTTTGATAGGCTTCTTCCTTGTTATGACATATAATCTAGCCCCATGTCGTATTCGGTTCTGTTGCAAAGAGAGAATAGGTGTCTCTGCCCTTTTAAAAAGAAAACCCAAGGGTCATACCATTATAACACAATAGCTACCTCACTCCCACTTAGGAAATTCGTTCAAAAAGGTCCGCCTGGCAGTTTTATTTAACGAAAGTCACTGCTATGACTTATACTTTCTGTTATTTATCGACAAATGGTTTCTGGTAAAAATTAAAATTAATTCAGATAAAAGAAAGCAAGGATGTTTGCAATCATTCCATGGAAATGGAAGATAAATCATTAGCGGTCTGAATTTAGGACTGCAGCTCAACCAATTTTACATGGAATTTCGTTATTCTTTATAGTAAATCGCTAGAAGCTACATCCATCTTTGTTTCAATGAAGTGGTTGAATTAATTCTAGCTGCATTCTCACTTAGTCTGTGCACCCTTTCAATTCCCTTATAAAAATGAATCAGAAGCGAACGGGGAGAATTTTGAAAAGCTCAAAAGTTTCCGAGCTGTAATATTCGAATACCTAGTGTTAAGGGAAAATACTCGCTAAATCAAATGCATTTACGTCTTGCAATAGTTTGCTAGAGAATAATTTTTGGAAAATGTGTTATGATATGGGCTAAGCCGTATCTAGCAGCTACTTGTACGTTAGAAATTTCAATAAGATGGAGCTTGTAGAAAAATCGCCAGAGTAGAAATGATCAGTGTCACCATAAACAACCAAAAGAAACAAGCATCGATAACAGCGGCGACTAATTTCCATTCCTCCCTCTTAATTTCGTTTGCCTCATTTTCTCTGACAACACTCACCAGCCTTCGAACGTTCTTCAACAAATTGTCCTGCCTAAGAAGCATTTCTTTCATGGAGACCTCCAAGGAGAGTGGAATATTCTGCGGAGGGCTATCATCCGTGGTCGGCTGCTCTTCGTTAATGGTATCCAAACAGTGTGCGCATGTGTTGAACAGCTGTGGGAGTCCGAAAGTCGACGCTGCCTCTGATACGTGACTTGACCGCCCCTCAGAGAAGGCGGAAGTACGCCATGATATACCACCTCCGCATCTTCCCGTAGGAGGGAGAACTGAACTACGTCTCTCAAACTCGATTTCTTCTCGTGCCTCAGCTTTTTCCTTGAAATGTTTTTTGATGACTTTCACGAGTCCTGGAGGAATTTTGACGCGCACAAGTTTTGCCAGCCAGTTCAAGACAATTATTCTCACCCATGCGGGAATCTCTGCCACTGACGGATTGTTATAATAACATTTGAGAGACAAGCATGTTGCTACCAAAGAAAGACCGACCTATGGAAATAATGCAATGTGCGGTTGGTTAAACCAAAATTGTCGAACTGTTTTGTAATAAGGTAAAATTCCAACTCAAAACGTATACCAATAAATCTCCGCAACCAGACATTGGGGTTAAAGCAGCTCTAGGTAGCTGCTTTTGTCTCAGTTAAAAATCAATTTCGAACGAGTGCAGAGAAGGTCTCGCTTTCTGATGAAAAATGATTGCGATCCAGTTACTCACCTCAAACATGATTCCAGTGTAATAAATGCTTATCAATGGAATAACTTCAGAAGTAGCCGGCATGATCTCCGCCACAATCAACATGAACACAGTCATGGCCAGTAGGTTGGTAATCACCAATGTAATGCGTTCACCGGAGTCAGGGGGGAGGAAAAACGACAGCAGTGTTAGGGCTGCATACAAACGAAAACAAGAACACAAACGCTGAAATGTCTCTTGATTACTTCCTTGTTTTGCGATTTTTTGTGATAAACCAAGTCGTGCTCAGCACCTGATTTCACAGGTGGTTTGAGTTTGGAGCTCGTTTGTGCTACATGGGTTCTCTCCAGGTTCTCTGGTTCTTAATTAGCATTTAATCAAGGCATCCCATTTATACTGATGGGTGGAGAGATGCACGGTGAGGGGAGAGTGTTTTACCCAAAAGCACCACAAATTGACCTAACTAGATCTCGAACCGAGACCCCTAGACTCAGAGTCCAGCGCTCAGCCATTAGACCAACTCGTCTCCAACTGATCCCTAATTAGATTGTAATATTAGCTGGCTTACATGTTATCAACGCGCATGGTACGATCATGTTCACGTAATAATATTTGCTTCGTCTCCTTATATGGATTGTATACGTCACATCTGGGTAAGGCTGAGGACAACACACGTAGATAACTTCATTTCTTTGCGCAGGGATACCAATCAAGTCCCATTCTCCGTTAACAACGTACTTCTTGATGTCACCTTCATCTGCCTCTTTCACGACGTCAACCTGGTAACCGTCGAACGTCCATGAGCCAAACTTCATTGAACAGAACTGAATGATAGAAGTAAAACAGAATTCTAGATCGACACCGTCATTAGGGTGTAAACTGATTGCCTTCAAATAATCCAAAATTTCATTGGTTTCACTTCACAACACTTTGTGATTGGTCAAGAAACCTCGTTTCACTTCGAATTCAAACAGATGTAAAAACGATTTCTTGTTTATTTCTTATAAAACTTTTAGCTGTAGTTTTAATTATCACTTTAGTTTTTCGCCTTTCTGTGTATTAATGAACTTTAAATTAAAACCATAAAACTAACCTGCTCGTCAAAAGGGAAAAAGTTGACGTTTATCTTGCAGGAGAAAGTGCAGAGTACTGGGCCGAGCCACATATTCCGACCGTTAGAACTGAGTACTATTTTAGTTTTGAATCGGTCAAGGGCCCCGTCTTGGTTTGCATCGGCACTACAGTAAAGGGTAAAAAAATATAGGTCTGCAATACATTCGACGCGTAGATAAAATAATTTACATTCTTACTTGTTGTATAGATAGATATCCGGTATCCACAATTTATTTGCCTTTATATTTATCTGATCCATTCCTCCGTATTCTGATTTGTTCCAAGTTAAGATTGGATTGAACCATGACTAAAATGAAATGACAGAAACCAAACAAATGATTGAAGGAAAAATGGTGTAATAAGTATTTTCCAGTATCAGTTGCGGAGCTGTTCGCGATTCTGGTCGCAAATCCTATTGCCACCCCACAATTCTAATATATAGCTCAAGCTCGTAATATTAATGATAACATAAAAGAAGTGCATTTGCCAAGACTCGCCTGAGACACCCCTCACTTCGTTTTGATAGTCTCCCCTACCCTACCCGTGCAATCTGAAGGCACGTACGTACGTACGTACGCTCGGTCAGTCACGTGACAACCAAATGAAAGGAGATTGACCATATTCCATGGGTATGGGGCTCTGCCCCACGCGCGCGAAGCGCGCGTGGGAGCCCCGCTATAATCGGGTAATTTGGACCTGAAAAGGGAACTTCAGTTCTTCCCTTAAATTGAGCACTGACACGTCACTGTTGTTCAAATTTGAATGGTTGCAAGACTATCTGGGCAAGGAGACTTAAACATTACCTGACGAATCCATAGGCTCACTTGCATCAATTGGTTTTTCTCGTCCTTAAAACATCAAAACATAAAATTAAGTGCGATTGCCATTTTTATCTCTGTACCCTTCCCCCAACCTCCCTGTGTGAATGAGTAGCCAGTCAGACCGCCCGGAAATTATCATTCAGCCATTTCATAATAGAGAGCTTTCTGATTGTCGTAAAACCAAACATAATTTAATCCCAACGGCCAATCAGAGGCGGGTAAAATACCTCCGAGAGCTAATGAGAACTCAAAGTAAAAACAACTAAACTAAAGTGCAGGAAAACACGGGCATTTGAAAAATTGGTCTTACTCGTACCACGTTAATGATTTGATGTAAGGACACTCCAAGTGTGACTGTGACTTTTTCACTCGTGTTCAGAACAGGTCGAAGCTCAGGATTGTAGTTGGATAAGAATAGTTTCCGCCATAATCTGCCTTCCTCGCTATCTGAATTATTATGCTCAACATCGACATCTGTAATAAGAAAATCATGCCCAACAAGTTACAATAAGCCACTAACGTACCGTAAAAAGTATGTAATACCGGCATTCTGCGCAGAGAAGGCGAATCTCAAGCAGTCTGTAATACCTGTAGCACTTTGTTGTTGATAGGAATAATATGTTGTTATGAAGTATTCAGTAAGCTCGGTATCATTTAGTCTTTTGTTTATATAGAGCAGTTAGTTTCTATATGAATTTAAAGTCCGAAGTTTTATAGATTAAGCCGTCGCGATGAGTTTCCAAATAGAGACTGTCTTGTTTAACGTCATGAGTGGACGTGCTTAGTTTGTCTACTGACTTTACTTTGGACCCACACGCAGTCAAAGGTTGATTTAGTTGATCAGAAGCATTAAGTCCAGTGTTTTTTATTTGTGAGATTCTTGTAATGGTGTTTGGGTTAGTGTTCATCATCATTTTATTTGATAATGCAGGTTACAAATTGGCAGTCAGGAAGGCTGATGTGGACCTAAAAATCACTAAAGTAATGAAATGATATATCTTATACTGCTAAAAGGATTTGAAATTAATCTAAAAGAGAAAACTATCTTAAAATTTATAAGTTAACTGATAAAATACCCAGTTTAGCCTAAGAAGTATTCAATATTACAAGTAATCACTGTTCTTATTCCTTATCCTAATAGCTTCCTTGTTGAAAGTTTATGTATATCGAACTAAAATTTTTCCCAAAATATCCTTAAAAGGATTAAAACTGGCCGCGGAAAGCTTAACTTTACTGTTTTGTAAAAAGTTCCAGATATGACTGGTACTTGTGGGAATGTCTACCAGCTTCTGAATTAACCCGTTTGATGGCCATATGGTTTGGTACACGAGTTGATCTAGTACTAACTTTCATTGCGAAGAGATCCCGAGTATTGACTGTGGTTCCAGGCCATAAAATACTTTAAACATCAGCAAAAGGATGCGACTCTTCCAACAACAAATGATTTATCTTCCAAAGTCAGTTGGCTAACATGACTACTTAAGCCTCAGTACCGACAGCAAATGAAAATAAAAGCGTGTTCTTTAGAGTTAGTAGTTATCAGGGAGTTAAAAGTTGAGAAGAAACAGAGTAGTCGATCAGTAAGTCCGAACCAGAGCGGTCAAAGGAAGAGAGTAAAGTAAAGTTGATGTAAGTAGCATCTTACATATGATGCACGATCCTCGCAGTAGATAGCGCTATTTAAGCAATAGCGAAAATCAGACCTGAAAAAAATCAGGCCTGTACGGGATTCGAACCACTGACCTCTGCGATACTAGTGCAGCGCTCTACCAATTGAGCTAACAAGCCAACTGGGAGCAGGCCGTTAAGTTGATTCGTAATAAACCCGTGAAAGTGATAAATGAGATACAATGAAATATATGAAGTTCATATATTTTGTACTGCGGTATTAGATACATATGATGCACGATCCTCGCAGTAGATAGCGCTATTTAAGCAATAGCGAAAATCAGACCTGAAAAAAATCAGGCCTGTACGGGATTCGAACCACTGACCTCTGCGATACTAGTGCAGCGCTCTACCAATTGAGCTAACAAGCCAACTGGGAGCAGGCCGTTAAGTTGATTCGTAATAATGATTCGTTAGCTCAATTGGTAGAGCGCTGCACTAGTATCGCAGAGGTCAGTGGTTCGAATCCCGTACAGGCCTGATTTTTTTCAGGTCTGATTTTCGCTATTGCTTAAATAGCGCTATCTACTGCGAGGATCGTGCATCATATGTATCTAATACCGCAGTTCAAAATATATGAACTTCATATATTTCATTGTATCTAAGTAGCATCTTATTAGACAGCCGAGAGATTAATAAAGAAGACTATAAAGAAAGAAAAGTTAAGAGACCCTAGTGCTTCGTAAAAGCGTGTTACGGTCTGGAGCTAGTTTCCTTGTCCTTATGACCCAAAAATATTTTACAAAAGGGCACGCTAATCTGTTACAACAGAAAACGATAGCTAAAACTGAGAAGAAAAGATACGAGAATGAAGGAAACATCTGTTACAATATTTCTTTTTTTTCAGACGGATGTAGGTCACGCTGTCTTATCTCACAAGGGTCTCTTAATCACATCAAATTTTGTAAATCAAGCGAGACATCAGTTCATATCTTTCAGTCCTTTTCATCTAGGATAAAAATTCATTAAGCAGTAACTCTCTGCATGTTAGGGGAATCAAGTTCATGAATGGCGTGCTGATTAAATCTCATATCTGTACGATCACGAATTGTTTCAGGCTAGACTGCCAAACCGAAATAAATTCAAGGGTGTGATTGTCTGAGTGAGTCAACACTACAGTCGGTGAACCCCCATCGTCGATTTATAGGAAAACTATTCGCAATGAAATAGACAAACAAAAAATTTCACAAGGAACGTTAATAACTATTGCAAGAAGCAGCTTTCTTGCATGACAAGAAACACCCAGAAAAGAACATTATATTTCAAGGATTTCTGATTGACACTTTGTTGCCACGATTTCGCCAGTCACCTCTTGCCCTTTTGAGAGAGTTTGATTTCCAGAAGGGAAGCATCATTCTAAAACAGAATCGTGTTACTGATTTAGTAGATGTCCAGTTCCAAGGAGAGGGGGGGAGGGGGTATGCCGCTTTGGCCTTGAAATCCTCCAAACCTAACCCTCCTAATTAAAGGGAAAAATCCGATTATTTCTCTATCGTGCCAAAAGAAAAAAAAAGACAAAAACTCGTTATAAATTGTGTCAAGTGGACTTCATACGGATCCATTATCATGTATACACAGACTATTTACACGATAAAGATTAGAAATTTTTTCTCCCGAATTTGAGAACCAGGCTCATATCACCATATGCCGAAAGAGACAGGCTTTTACCGTCAAATACAAATTTGATGCTAATCTGAGCGCAATGCAAGGGAGAATATGATGAGGATTAATTAAATGATTACCGCCACCCTGTTAACCCAATGGATAGTGCGCTGGACTGTTGTATGGGAGGTCGAGGGTTCGAGCTCCGGCCGCACCAACACTCAAGGTCTTAAAATAATTGAGAAGAATTTGCTACCTTTCTATAATATCAAGAAATGGTTAGATATTCTAGTCTTCTCGGATACGGACGAATAAATGGAGGTCCCGTCTTCTGTAGGGTTGGGGATAGGAGACGTTAATTTCTCACGCACGAGATTACTGTGTGATGGATGTCCTCCCCTGGGGTGGGACGGGTGGGTTTACTGGGCCCGCAATAATTGGCGCAAGCTGTTGCGGTGTCCCTGCCGGTTGGCGAAGCCAATAAACTAAAACTTAACGATCTGAAACAATCTGACAGATTTCAAATTAATGAAATGCAGTAATGATGGACATCAAAGTTAAACTGCACGTAGACTCTAAAAGGCTCAGTGTATCTTAGTTAAGAGTTAGAAATGCTCGAAAATGTTGATATCGTCCAAGTTGGGTTAGTGCATGTTTTATATCGCGCAAATCATGATTTCAGTTTATGTGCTTAAGTTAAAGGCTTCTGAAGCTAACAGGATTATCTTTCAAATTTCACGGTTCCGTAACCACAAATATGGGTCTTTCCATTCCAAAAGGATTATCTTATAGTTGCAAATTCTGGTTTTGCCAGTTGATCTTACGGCACTTTAACACCGCGCTTGGCAGAGTTTCATCGTGTAGCAAACACTGCTAAGATACCAAATATTTCGTAGTGCACGAGTGTTGAAGGAACATTTTTTCCGATCAAGAAAAGCAGATTCGATTCAAATATCTCCTTAACAAGAATAGAAAAGTTTTTTGTCTTGGTGTGTAACAAATATAGCGATTATGACATTAAATAGATGGTTCAATTCAAAGTTCAGTGAAACAGCTCGCGGATTTAGATTGACTGGTAGAGTTGTCAGAAGGAAAATGCGTTCTCTGATTATAAAGTCTAACGAGACAAACGCTCGATGTTCCAAATTGATTATATTGATTTATATCTAATTCATATTTTGTGCACTTCAAGAAAAGTGAGTGAAAATGTTTGAAATATTACTGTAACAGTAGGGAAGTACGTGACTCGAACTACTTGCAGACTGAAGACATCACGTCTCGAGGGCAGTACGCGGCTTCAGATGTTCTTCCATACAATCGAATCAAAAATACATAATCTAGCAACTGGTTTCCTCATTCAAATATTGAATTTTTCTACTCACCTACGCTTGAGGATATCACGATGATCAAATACAGTAAATTCAAAAGGAGCCCAGAGAAGATCGCATGTCCTATCGTCATTTTGTTTAGCTAGTGCACCTCTGTGTAGTGACCGTTCATCTTTTCAGCAAGCCGAACCGAAGCACAAGAATTCGGTTCAAGGCGCATATTTGTTCATATCTCCCCGCTGCACTGTCAACGGTGCCCATGTGACTAGAGTGGGGTCATACAGTTTATCTTAACCAGACCATCGAAAAAGAAGAAAAAAATAATAATGAGAGCACGTACTCTAAGTTTGGTCAGGTTTATTATTATTCAGATCCTTTATCTAGACGGCTGCATGCATCCACTTGACATCGGCGAGAAAAAAGTGCCTCTTAAGAAAGATAAAAGAAAACTTTGCGGTCAACTTGGAGAGAAAGAGAAAAATTACTCTAGAGAGAGAGAGGGAGAGGAGCAAGCATTACCTTTAAATTAAGCGATAGGGTTCAAAGAAAGGGAACTGAAGTGGGGAAAAGTAGTGTTTGACATTGTGGAGTTTTTTTAAGTGGAAGATGTTGAAGGAAGGTTAGTTATATTTGGATGTAGTTTAATATATTAGACTTTTCCGCGGTACGATTAAAGGGATGGCGTTGGTCCACAAACGTTCTTCATTGTTTGTAATTAATTTCGTTGCTTAATGGGAGTTAAACTATCGCACAAAAATCTTAATTATGAATACATAGGTTTCCTTTGGAAGATATAATTTTTACAATCATTAGTAAAGCACTCATGGCACTAGCCAGAGTCCCCAATAATCAACAAGTTGCAACAGTTGATTCTGAACAATTACGACAAAAAAATACACTGACAATAGATTGCACTGAAATATCAAACATCGTTTTCTCGGAAAACTTCGTTTCTTTCATCACACTCCGCACAAAGTCACAGTAATATACTTTTTTAACACTTACGTCAACCCTACTCAATATCTGGGTTTATAAGTTGATTATCATCAATACTTTGGAGCCTGCAGAAAAATAACGAGACTAGAAACTACCAATACGGCCATGAAAACCCAAAAGAAACAGGCATCGATGACAGAGGCGACCAGTTTCCATTCCTCTCTCTTAATTTCACTTTCCTCTTTTTCTCTCACCACATGCACCAACCTTCGAACGTTCTTCAATATGTTGTCTTGCTTCAATAGCAATTCTCTCATAGTAGCTTCCAAAGACAATTGGATATTTGGGGCAGATGGTCGATCTTCGTTAATGGAGCGAAGACTGGTGATGAAAGGAAGGTATAAAGGCTTGGGAACACGAGTAGTCTGTGTGGTTTCTCCTTCTACGCTTGAATCTCTTTCTGAGGAGAATGTCCTACAGCGGTTTCGGCCAGCAGTTTGCAGACTTCCTCTGGATTTTGAGTAGAATTCTCCTATCGATGTGAAACATCTTTCACGTTGCATGACTGTTGGTGGCATGGTAGAACTCCGCCTCTCCATATCAATCTCCTCCCGAGCTTCCTCTTGTTCTTGCACGTGTTTTTCGATTACGTTTATCAATCCTGCAGGAATCTTGACGTGAAAAATTTTGGCCATCCAGTTGAGCACGATTGTTCTGACCCATGTGGGCATCTCCGCCACTGAGGGGTTTTTGTAGTAGCACTTCAGCACCAAGCATGTTGCAACTAAAGAGAGAGCGACCTGCAAAAAAACGTTTTAGTTAGGGACTGGCGCTGGAAGGAGGGGGGAGGGGTCGGAGGAATTATTTTTGTGTCACTGTCAAATCTCCCTGATTTCCCCCCGCCCACAGGCTCTGTATTATTCTAATGATCCCCCATCATTGGCAGTCAATTTTTCATAGTCCTCCTTAATACTTTCTTAGCGACGACTGACGCCCCTCCTTTCCCCCCAAAAAACATATGACCCCGCCTCCCCCCCCAAAAAAAACCCTCCGACTTCTTCTGGCGATAAATGACGGCTAGACCCTATATGCTCAGTCGAGCATGCAGGTATATGACATTTAAGAAAATTATTATATGGGAAACGATGCCCAAGGAAACTATCAAATTGTCACTGATATTTAAAGTCATCAGTTCCTGTAGGAGAGTTGCCGGCTCTCAGATATCACTTAGCGTAGAAGACGTGGTTGATGTAAAACGATAGAGAAAAAAAACACAAAAAGGCGAGGAAGACAACTAACACAGTACAATACACTATCGTGACGTGTCCTGTGTGTTCTTCACCCAGAAGGAACCATTAAGGCTATTACCTGCCATCATCTGCTTACCTCAAACATGATTCCAGTGTAATAAATGCTTATCAATGGAATAACTTCAGAAGTAGCTGGCATGATCTCCGCCACAATCAACATGAACACAGTCATGGCCAGTAGGTTGGTAATCACAAATGTAATGCGTTCACCGGAGTCAGGGGGGAGGAAAAACGACAGTAGTGTCAGGGCTACAGGTTGGGGAGGAAAAAAGCAGCATTCATTACAATACACTTCAATGTGAGATATGTAAGGGATCTATCGCATAGTTTCATACCCCGCCCTTCTTAGCCTGGCTCAAAAGTCCGAAAGTGTACCCTGTTGTTTTCATTTACTGGTTTTCATTTGTTGCTGTTGTTGTTTGTCAAGCTGTTTTTTTTTTTTTTCGTCACTGTTGTTTTTTTTAATCTTGTTTTCGCTTTTGGTTGGTACGTAGGCGTCTGTTATTTAATCTCTTTCTTATCCAGTTTTTGTCAGTTATACGATTCCTGTGAAGTTTTTTTTTGTTGTTGTAATTTTTGTTGTTGCTACTGTTGCTCTGGTTTTTGCTACTGTGTTTTCAAATACAATACTTTATTCAAGAGAAGAAAATCAAAATTACAAAAAGTATCTCTCAAATGGGGATATCTAGAGGTCAACCCTATGTAAAAGATTCCCCGAAATAAAGACATGAAAAGGTCAACCAAAACATTATATACAGATAATTAAAAACTATTTATTATCTTCTGAATCAATATTCATGTAAATCCTTAGTCTGTTATGAAATAAAGTCAATGAACCTGCGTGTACAATATCTTTAGGTAAATTATTCCACATATTAACGATCCGTACAAAGAAAGAAAATTTGTAGCAATTTAGAATGGCTACTTTTACGTAGAGCTTATAATCGTGTTTGACTCTAGTTCGATTACATTTAGTTAAGTTCGAAAAAGTCAGAAAAAGGAAGACTATCTATTCCCAGAACTATCTTATAGCACTGGATCAGAGATAAAACTCTCTACGTTTCTCCAAAGTTTTCCAATTCAGTAAGCGGCAGCGGTCTTCATAGCTCATTTCTTCCCGCTTTTGCTTTAATACCAACCAAGATGCGGCCTTCTTTGGACTTTTTCATGGATATTGGGTTATTTTCAGCCTCAGTTTCTGTCATTCGTTGCCCCTCGATTTGTCGTTTGTCCTAATTATATATTTTTTTTTTTCAGATTTGCCGTTTTATTGGGTGTTCGTGCATCCTTTGATGAGCGCTTCATTTCTCTGTTCTTTCTTTTCAACGAACGTTTTAGACGACAAATACACGTTTGTGACCGACACTGGAGATCTTTACCAGCACTCAACATGCAGCAGACATATATATCGTTTTTTGTAAAGAAACTTACATGTTATCAGCACACACGGAAGTATGAGGTTCACAAAATAATAAGTGGTCCGCCTCCTTATATGGACCGTATACGTCACGTCTGGGTACGGCTCAGGACAGCAGACATAAACAATTTCATTTCTTTCCGCTGGAAGGCCAATCAAATCCCATTCACCGTTTGTTACAAACTTCTTTGTATCGCCTTCCTCTGATTCCATTTCAATGTCAAGACGGTAACCATCGTAGGTCCATGAACCAAACTTCATCGAGCAGAACTAAAAAGATATCAAAACGTGTTACGGAGATAAAGCAGGTGATGATCGTTAATATGTACAGGATAAAAGAGATGAAGGATAATCACGGCTAAGTCTACAGTTAGCCGTGCCTTTTTTCAGCGGAGGCCGAGGAGAAGAGAATCAAACAGAAAATTTTGACAGCCCTCCCGAAACTGAGCACTAACTCATTACCATCCGTTATCCTATATTTTACTCTGGTTAAGGCCTTTTCAGCACAAAATTCTGTTGACCATTTTTATTTTATTTGAAATGACCAGGAGAAAACCTCATAATTTGACCTCTATTTCGTGAATGGTAAGCCAAAAATATAATAACGCACACGGTTGAGTTTTAATCACAGACTGCTTTAACACTGACCTGTTCGTCAAAAGGGAAAAAGTTCACGTTTATTTTGCAAGAAAAGGTGTAAAGAACTGGGCCGAGCCACATGTTTCGTCCGTCAGAGCTGAGTACTATCTTAGTTTTGAATCGGTCAAGTGCTCCATCTCTATCTGCATCGGCACTGAAAAGTAGAAATACCTTGAAATGATTGGTCGTCGACACATGCTGTTGTTGCAAGGTTTTAAAGTGAGAGACTTGTTTATAGACTGATCTTCATGATTATCCCTTTATTCACACCCGGAGCGATTGAAATCTGATTGGTCTTGACGACTCGCGCGCCAACATCTCAGCCAATCAGGTGCAAAACTAAAAGCAATCATGTAATTTGGTTATATCAACTAAGTTGAAATTGTAAATTGGCCACTGTAAAGAGTTAAAAAGCTGACGTTTCGAGCGTTAGCCCCTCGTTAGTGAAGGGTTAAATCTCGAAACGTCAGCTTTTTAACTCTTTACGCCGGGTGGCCAATTTACAATTTCAACTTAGTTAATATAACCAAATTACCTTGTTACCCCCACCGACGCAGCACCACAGTTTCTAAAGAAACTTACCCCCCCCCCCTTAAAACCAATCATGACTTGCCCACGCGTGATTTTCGCGCCTCCATGATTTCGCTTGTTTTTACGTTAACAACAGCATACACCATCCGAGAAAAAAAACAAAAATTTATATGAAAACAAATAAACAATATACATAATTACGTACTTGTTATAAAGATAGATGTCTGGTATCCAAACTTTGTTTGCGATGATATTGATTTGGTTGATACCCTCAAAATATGAAGAATTCCACGTCAAGAATGGATTAAACCAGGCCTTCAAAATAAATGATTGATCAAATGATGTAATTTATGTACATAATACAACGCATTAAGCAGAAAAAAAGAAAATGAAAGAGAATGACGAAACAAAATAGCACTGAGAGATGCATGTCATGTATCACACCTGACGTATCCAGAGACTGACTTGCATTAGTTGATTCTTTTCATCCTGCAAAGTTAAAAAAAAAAAAAGTCAAATTTCATTTGAATAAAGGAGGTCAGTTTCTTTAGAAACTGTGTTGCTGCGCCGGTGGGGGTACTACAAGATAAGGGGGGGGGGTAAGTTTCTTTAGAAACTGTGGTGTTATGTCGGTGGGAGTGACAAGGTAATTTGATTATATCAACTAAGTTAAGATTGTCAATTGCAATTGGCCCCCGTAAAAAGTTAAAAAGCTGACGTTTCGAGTGTTAGCTCTTCGTCAGAGCGGACGAAGACGCTCTGACGAAGGGCTAACACTCGATACGTTTGCTTTTTAACTCTTTACGGGGGCCTAATACAATTTCAGCTTAGTTCATCATGATATAACCAAATTACCGTACTACAAGATAATTTGGTTTTATCAAATGAGTTGATAATGTAAACTGACCACCATTAAGACCTTTTAAAGCTGACGTTTCAAACAATAGCCCCTTGTCATTTGCTTTGACTAAGGGCTAATGAAACGAAATACCAGCTTTAGAAACTATTTACGGCAGAAAATTCATATCATTAACTCAGTTGATAAAACCAAATCATTTTTCAGGTTTTCCTCTTCGAGTTTATTTGTTACTTCTCTCGATGAGGCTTCTGCAAAATCACTACCTTTCAGAGGTGGTGAAAAGCTGTTCAATCAATGGAAAATAAAACCTGGCATAATTGCAAAAACCACGTGGTGTCCTCATAAGAACATAAGAACATAGACAAAAAAGATCATTTACCACATCAATGATTTGATGTAAAGAGACACCGAGCTTGACAGTGACTTTATTGCTTTTGTTCAGAACGGGACGTAGTTCAGGATTGTAACCAGTCTTGAATAATTTCTGTCTCAGCTTTGCCTCCCCGTTTTCCATCAAAGAAATGTTCCAGCTCCCATTTATTCCTGGAAGAAATGCGAAAATTGCTGTAAAGACATGACTTTTAGTATGAGTCACTCTTGTGAAGCGCAGCTTAGTTAACAGCCATTGTAAGTGGCAGAACTCAGTGGCAGATCAGATGGAGATGCAAACGAACGGTGTGGAGCTCAAACCTACTTCGTGAAAAGTTTCGTTCCTTTGTTCAACGTTTGTGAGAAATAAAAGTAAAGCACTTCTTTACTTTATGAAAATGATTTGATAAGAACTAATCTAAGAGTTTTTTGGCCTTCAACAACAGACCTTCCAGACGAGAAAGACTGAACTTATTACACTTATATAACGACTCCGCGTTGCCCAGTATTCTTTAGATCCGCCTCTACATTTTGTCCTGTCATTTCTATTCGGAAATGCTGTATGTCGCCTGCACCCGCTTTGTTTCGAAACAGAAATGGTTTGACCAGGCAGACCTAGGACTGGATTTGCAATTGGCATAGGGTACATACTAACATCCATGAACCTTCTCACGATCACCTTTACTCTCGTCGGTCAGATTTCGAAGGAAGAATTCGAAAAATGATCAGCCTGTCTAAGAAAATGTTTGTGGTGCGTGAGACATCTACAGCCGTGTAATACAAGTAAAGCAAAACATCTATTGGCTTATCTATGTTGTAGGTAAATACAAAGACACAAAAAGGCTTCCTACTACAAATATATCACAATAGATTTCATCATATTTACAGACAATTAGCTCGCAAGCAAGAATTTTATTGTTTTATCTATCGCACGAACAAAGTTTTCTTTCATTCCTCGTCGACTTTAGCAGTCAGCATGTATTTCTTGAACAAATCACAGGGTCAGCTGACAACGATTCATGTAAAGCTTTACATAGACAAGGCCCTTTTAGAGGCTGGCTTTGAATTCAATGTTGTTAAAAGATTTTTAGAACGATAAGCTTCATTTCTAAGACATTAGTGATTCAATACACACCTATAGGCCTGTACCAGCAAGCTAAATCGTGGATTGCATGTTTACTAATAAATGTGGGAATTAGAAACGTCTGTAGTTAGTTTACAGCTTTTCAAATCACGATTTGTTTTTCCTCAGTCGAGTTGGATTTGAAATCCTCGCAATGCAGTCCCAGAAGGGAAACATTCTATGAATGTGTGTTTACCATTCCTAATTTATGATCAATCAAGTTTTCTTCAAAAATACATAACTACCGACAAATCATCTCAGAAAACGAGAAGATTATTCAAAATTTCTTAAATCTCTTGATTACTGATGAAACTTAACTTAGTCATTGAATTTGTCAAGTATCTCTTAGTAATTTCACTTCACAATTATCCGGATATGAAATAAAAAAGAAAATGTGGACAAAATGGAAGTAATATTCTAAACCGTACTGAATGGGCAACTACATTATTTTTCAGAAATGAGATAGCTTGTCAAAGTTTGGTTCCTCGTTTGACATTATATTGATTGCAATTGACTCAACAAGAAATGCAAATTTCAAATGAAATATAACCCAACAGTGACGGATAGGCTAAAATCTCCTTCGGATAAATGGCGTTTCATGACCTTCGGTGGAAAATGAAATATAAATCACATCTGGCGACTGAATGGGAAGCTGGAAGAGGGAAGTATATTCAAATGATCGGAAAAAAATCTACGTTCTCTTTTCATTCGGAAATCAGTTACCGAATGGTGTCGCAAATGCGTCTTGCATAGCCGATGCGTTCTGATACAAATGCGTCGGTTTTCTGATTTCTGTTGCAATGGATACCAAAAACAGGAATCGTAACCACGCAAGCCTATTGGCCACCTTTCGAATGATGAGCAAAAGCAGAAAATATTTCAAGTTTGATGAATGTCTTGTTATTCTGACATGAGTATGTTCATAAACAGATCTTTCTCACAAACTTATATCTAAACGTCTGAAATTTCGACAACACAGCTGCAAAAACTAGCCAGAATGCAACAAAACACGAGAGGCCGGAACAGAACCCGGGCAAATACTTAATCGAAGTATTATCGACATCAACCAAAAATTAAAACTAAAGTAAGATTACAAAGAGATTTCCTTCTTTCAAATTCATTTACCTTTGACAGCAAAGGTTGCGGCAGTCAGGGCTAGAAACCTTACAAATGTCCGCGTCGAAATCGTCATCTTGTATAAAAAGCGTGATAAACGTCCCCCTCAAGAAGTAACTAACTTGACCCACTTAACACAATCAGCTATGTCGTTGGTAATCAGTCTTGGTCGGCCTTCTGGACTTCTAAAGAATTCGTTCTAATTATTATCAACGTGTATTTACCTCCGCTACAGCTAGGAAGCAAAATAGGTTACTTTTACCATGGGTCACCGGTAAATAAAACAACTGGCATGTTTATTTACTTAAGTGTCTGTACCATTGACACTGTTATAACACAATCTGAAATATGCCGGCTTTTACTACATTAGAATCATAATGAATGGGAATACTGTAAATATACCATCAAAATATCATTACCCAGACAAAATAGCAGGGGGGGTAACATTGTATCTCCCCTCCCTCCCCAACTCCTCTTACCCTTTTCATCTTTCTAGTAGAATTTTCCTATTCAATTATCTGAAAATGCGGTCTAATCTATTTTCGAAACTGTTCTCTGTCGTTTCCTATGCCGCAACCACACCAACACAACATAGAGTTCAAGTAATCACGGACCTTTACTCTCTTTGTGCTTAATGTGAAGTTGAAAAACATCAGTCTCAGCAACCTCTTTTGAAGATTTTTTTTTTAACCGTGTTTAACAAAATAGCTTTGAAACGCAATCAGCTTTGTGTCTAAATGGGTCGTTAATCTCTCTTTGTGAAGTTACTTGGATAGTTAGCTCAATAGAATGACTATTTTAACTCCTGTACTCTATAACATAGTTTTTCCGCAGACGCTCTATCCGCGATTGAGGGTTGCCATTTGATCTCTTCCAGAGAGCATGTGCAGAAAAAATCCCAGAAAGCAAAGGAAAGGAAAAAAAACAGCGAGTGGTGCTATCATCTTTTTATTTCATTTTTTCTTTTTCTTTTTTCTTTATATAAGAACCACAGGAATACCTTTTTTATACATTCGAATCTGTGAGTCAGATGTTTTGCTTAGCAGTTCATGTGGTTTTCCACTTAAACCAGTTGATGACATAAGAGAAACAACTTCAAAGCGCTAAAAAAGTTGTCCTCGGACTGTGTTATTTTTATGCAATCTAATGTTTGTCTGATAACCAGATTAAATTTTTTTTAATCTTCTTCCGTTCGTCCGGAACCTTCGATCCATCTCCAAATTGAAGAAGATTGCTCTTTAATTACACTGGACATGTTTCAGCATATACCTATGATTACGGCAGATTTCACCTAAAACATAAGATATTCGCAAAACTTAGAGGAAAGAAAACCAAAAGAATTCATCAAAAATTCGTCGTTTTCCGAGGAACAAGCGACTCGAGGACAACAGCGACTGTCTGTGGGCAAACATTCGAGCATATTTGCATCTAAGAAGAGTTAAATCCGTTTTTTCTGTTGTAGTTCAAGGTCTTTGTCAGGTCATTTAATTGGAGAAGCCCACTTGATCGATATTTCAGCCAAAGAAACGCTTCTCGTGGGAAATGTAGACCTTTTTGTTGCGACTGCCTCCTGTAGGAGGCAAAGCCACAGCTGTGGTCGATGTGAGTGAATGTCTATATTATTGTATGATCGGTGCATCGTGAAACTCGACGAATTTTTTTTTTTCGAACAGAGCGCATTTAACCGTTTAAATCAGCAAATTATGAAGATTCGAAGATGTAACTTTTTCAGCTCTTACTGTGACACTACAAAAGACGATTAACATCTCAAAGTAACTTCCTAGTGGCATTCATTGACGCATCATTTAAATCTAAACTTTTCCTTGCAGAAATAACTCAACTGATGGAGGGAATTTTTTTCTCGGAAGAGACTTATGTCGAAAAAAGCCGCTGAATTTGCGAAGCGAGCAAAGCTGCGAAATACGATACTTGAGTTATTCAAGGAAAAGATTTAATCATTCAATTGTCCATTTAATTATTGTGAAAATGTCAATAAGTCAGTATATTCTTAAATTATCTTTCTCTCGTAAATATGTGGGACTTGGCAGGTTTTCTGTTTTTCTTGTGAGACAAATGTTCTGCAACGGCACCTGTCTAATTATACAACTCATAGCTCTTTTCAATGCTATTAAAAATTGTGCTCTATACCAGCAGCCACTAGTCTCCTACGCAGCCGTTGTTTGGTGGAGGGAGCGTTGCGTGACGAGCCCAAACAACGGCCGCGAAGGAGACTAAGCAGCCAGATGCAGCCTCTATTATTGCCGCGTCAAGTAATGTTCACCATCAATCAATTGCCCCTCACCTCACAAGCTTGCTTGTTCAGAAACTGGCATAACCCGTTTTTTAAAGGAAAGGTGTCACAGAAAATATATTTTTCTTTTACAAATACCCATAAGGAAACTTTAACTGCTTATCCACCCTTTCGCCTCTAAGATCTCGGTATCATTTCTCCTTAATGGTTTCACTATACTACCTTAATTTTAGCGATGAGAATTTGGTTTTAAAAAAAACATTTACTGTAACTGTTTTCCTTCTTCTCAACACCTTTCTGCTTGAAAATGTATCGACTTTAACGGAGAATTTACTACGTGATCACTCTTGGAAGTGGAAAGGTTCATTACATTTACGATGGCGTCTCATTATTTAAAGAAAGGATGACGAGTGATCTTATCAAGGGATCTGATCAAGGAGATTAATAATACACCACCATTTACTTCGACTGAAGACAATAAAAAACTGAACTGGCAACAAGTTTATTACTTTATTAAGCTATAAAAATTTACATACCATTCAACTAATACGAAAATAACATTCAATACGAAAATATTTTTCCATTACGCCAGTAAGACCAACTAGACTTTTTGGAATCATTTGAAATCACCTTGATTGTAATGGTATTAACAGCTACTGCAGAGCTTTCACCTTCTCGTTGAAACAAACGAAGTTTGATTCAATAGATTACACTGTCTTCGCTTTACTCGCGAAGACAAGGTATTGTGACAGGCCACAAAGGTATAACTTAGACTTTCTACAGATATATACGCTAAGATTTTGTAGAGGCCTTGAAATTATGCCGACTGAAGTTTAAGACAGTGCTAAAAGGGCCTAGACTGAAATATTTTGTAACATTTTACTAACGAAGACAACAACTACTCAGAAAATAGTGAAAATTTCCAAACAATGATTCCTGACACCAAACGCCAAGAGTTACCCCAAAATGAGTGAGGTAAAGAAGAATATGGAATAAAAGAGAACCACGTTGAAAAATTTAACAAGACGAAACTTAGATACTTCAGATACCCAAGTTGTTACATCATGTCAGGGGAGGCTATCATACCTCGCGCCAGTCCCCAGCAACTTACGACTTTTTGGTTCGATTTCTTAAATTTCGTTCCGAACTACACGTCAAATTGAACTACCTTTGTGAATTTCACTTGGAACTGTTTCTTTAAAATTAACAAGCAATTAAAATATCTAAATTACCGCTTTATTATTATCTATTAATAGTTAATCGTGGAGCTGTTCATAACTTTTCCACAACAAATTTCAACATTGAAGAAATTTCGAGGGAGGATTATTTAATTCATTAAGAATGAATCATCAAATTTCCGATAAAAATGCATTTGTAAAAGCACGGTAGTTTCGGTAAGACTTTTGAAATAGGTCTTTAAAACTACACTTGAATAACGAGCAACGCTTCACCGCTTATAAAAGAACTACTTCAACAACATCCCTGTCTCAAACGCATTCTATCCCGAGGTACTGCTTCTCTCCGAGACATAACTCCGTCGCCGAAGATCGACTAGACCCGAACGATCAACTTCGGAGACATTCGGCTTTTCTAGGTTACCACATTCGAGATTGAATTCATGGTGAGTGAGCAGGTATTTATAATCCCATAACAGCACATCTTTGGGAAAACCAGTAAAAATACGCGCATACAATCTCTTAGACAAAATGTTTATAAAATGTCCCTTAATGTCTGTACTGAATAATGTCAGTACTGAATAATGTCAGTTATTTGCCCAAATATCTACCATTGCTACTCAGCTTCATCATCCGTCATAACTTGAACTAAAGATTCCACAGCTTTATTAACATCTTTTGCAGTAGCAAACAAATGTCCAACGGGATCTGCACCTAAAAAAAAAAAAAAAATGGATGAATGATCACTTCTCATTAAGGCTACAAATGGCTGGACTTAAAGCATTTCAACGAAACGAAAAAGACTAGGTTTCTAAACTTCGTCGTTCAATGAAACGTTGCCTCATTTCAACAGCACTTTCCGATTGAATGTCGTAAAAAAAAAAAAAAAAACCCAAAGCAATCCCATCAAACAAATCATAGCAACAAAAGTTCACCAGAAACTAATGAGAACTCGAAGTAAAAACAAACAAACTGCTTAAAGCGCGGCAAAACAGGAGCAACCAAGTCGCGCTTGGTTTTAGTTTTGAAACTAATTGGTCGAGAAAGTGAGATGCGTTTTTTGGTCCAAAAAGGAGCGAAATAAAACAGAACCAAATCAATCTGGGATAACGTTCGACACCGGCAGCAGTGAAAATTGCTCTGATAGACGTGACGTGCCAAGTGCATGATCAATTTAATTTACTTGTCCAAGCACATAAATTGATGTATTTCTGTAAAGTAGTTCCCTTCTTCAACGAATAGGTCTGCGTTCTAAACCTGGTAGTAGATTAGCAGACTTCCTCTTTTACAAATTGTGGAACAAATAGTACATCATAACTGAAAATAATTGATGCAATTGTACAAATAGCACTCTGTGATACTATTACTTCCAAATTTATCTTTCAGTGTTACGAGTTAGAACGATAAATATTAGTATCAAGTCAGCTTCAGTGCAAGTGTGCATGACGTTTCATAGCTAGTGCGGGTGAATACAGAAGTGAAATAATTTGGTGACAGGCCTGCCGAAACGGCTCGTCACGCAACGTTCCTCCTTGTGACTTTGAGGAATTTTTCGTTGCGTCCCAAACCACGACCTTTTCGGGCAAAAACACAAACTTTTTAGCCTTGTGTCTAAAAAAAGAGTAGTAAATCGAAGAAATCTAAGCTCGCATTTAACCAGAGAAGTCATGTTACTGCATGAACATCTAAGCGAGGACCACAATGCCCTTTTTCGCTGCGGGCTGTTTCAGGGGCATTTTGATTTATTTTGATTTTGTGTTTATTGCGCCGAGTTTCGTTGTTAAATTCGGTAGCTTAAGATCTCTTACCAGAAGAGTCAACAGTCATGCAGGGTTAGATTCCACTGGTTAGGCTTCAGCAGACACTACACAAGAGTTAACAGCATTAGTCACTGAAATAAACAACAAACAACAAACCAAATGGTGCTTTACCGTGCCTGGATCCTCACTCACTTTTCTGATCACGAGGAAAAGAAGAACTTATTTGACTCATGACTTCCTTTAGAGCTGGATCCTCACTTCCCTTACTAGCAAAACCATTTTTCAGAGGTCCTGAGTTCGTCCCACCGGGTTCCGATTCGGAATCGCTATCATTCCCGCGGGATTTTCCCGATCGACCTGACTTGACCGGGGAATACGGACCGTCTCCTAGCGAGCTGACGGAGGAAGACGGAGTGGTTCGTTCGGAGGACTGGGCCCCGCTCTGTTTGTCTTGGCCGGGCTAAAAGAGAAATTAATTAACATAAGTATGAGATATTGAGGAGAAATGTTGGGAAATTGCTGGTTTGGGTCCAGTAACAATCATTTTCCTGCACCTGATCAAGAAGTTGTCTAAGTCGCTGCAACTGCGCCTCTAGCTGTCTGTTGTGGTCCTCCAACACTTGCATTCTCGCCTCCAGGCGACCTTTGTGCTGACGCAGAAGTTTAGCTTCTGCAAGCAACTCAGAATCTCTGTTCTGAGGTCCACCCGGAGAGGGCTCGCTATCAGATGGGAGGCTAGACTGATCTCTGATGGACTTGAGCCGTTCATATTCTTCTTGGAGGTCCCTTGAAAAACAAAGGAAACAAAAAAAAATTGAAAGCAATAAACTCGTTAATCATTTTTGGCGATAAAGAATTTTGGAAAAAAAAAGAACGAGCTCGTTTTCAAAAATTATCACAAATTGTTCACAAACCTGTTTTCTTCTTCCAGTTTAAGAAGCTCAGTTTCAAGATCTTCTTTTTCAACCGCATCCAAAGCCATTACAATCTGAGTTGGGCTTTTAGGCTACAAAAACAAGAGCAATTGTTATAATACATAAATAAAAGTTATCGCAACAAATTTCAAGAGCTTAAAAAAATTAAAATTAGGTCAAATATCAATGTACTTCTTACCGCCTCTGCTGTGTCACTCTTGAGGCTGTTAATGATGAAAAAAAAATACCGTTAATATAATGAAGAAAAAACAACTTAAACGGGCTACAATGGGAATAACTTGGTGTAATAATTTTCATTAAAAACTGGATCATTGGATAATGAAATTCAAGACTTTCTATTGGCTTAGCCATTATGGTATATGAGCCATATAATCTACAAATATGGTAAGCGTTCGCGTCATCTTAAAATTAAAAGGGAGCTAAAAATTTAGTAATATTTAATATTGAATTTAATGTTTTTAATAAAACAATTATTCCACGAGCGCTTGTTGGATATGAGATGATTATAGCCAACTTGGCGCTACGCGTCTCGTTGGCTATCTGTCATCTCATGTCCAACAAACGCTCGTGGAATAATTGTTAAATAATACTTTTAAAAAATAACTGAAACGAAGGAGCCATCTTATCTTAATTTGCTGCCAAGAGAAAACTCTTCTGTTAAGATTTCAAAATTCAGTGTAGTTCAAACAGCTTATGATCGGAGCGTTCCAGCGTAATGCCGTTTTCTTTAAGGTGTGGTGTAAAAGGCAGATTGTGGTAAAACGGGATTAGCTTGTACCTTTGGCAGTACTGTGCTATAAGCTGATGCTCTTCGTCCCTGAAAAATAACAATACAAGTTTACTCCTCATGAATTTCCTACCACCGGACGGCAAATCCAAGCAGATCAGCAGATTTATTAAAACCAAATCTCTTGGGAGTATTAACGCAAAAAGACAGAACTCGTGCAAAAGTCGTGCTTCTACATTACAAGACTTACAAATCGTGTGGATTATATTTTCCTCCTTCTGATTCTGCTTCGGCCAACCTGCAAGTAAAGGAGAAAGTTAAGGTACAACTCTTTAACCCCTACAAGTGACTAAAATCTCATTTCCCCTTACTATATCACCCCCCCTGAGTAACACATTAAGGTCACGAGAATTGAAGAAACGAACACCAACTAAGGAATCTCATAAACGTTGAATAAATTCTCCCAGTCAGCACCTTAGAAAATGTATAGAGAACAGTATGGAGAATATGCAGACTGAACAGTATGGAGAATATGCATACTGACGTCAGGGGGTAAAGGATTTATACTGCCTAGTATCCTTGTTTTGGTCTGCTTAAAAAAGTCTGATAAAGCTCCTGCTTTCCGAATGCGGAACGAGGAAAGGAAGTGGGGGATGGTCTCCCTGTATACAATCCCTTTGTGACTTCACTTCGTGAAGAAAGTGGATGTGGATAATTCACGCACCTGTGTGCAAACATGCCTAGTCTGTTGTGTACTTCATGATTAACATTTTGTTGAGGAGTCGGCATGGGTGGTCTGCAAAAGAGAAATAAAAGAAAGGAAAGTGATTATTAAAAGAGAGGGAGAAGAAGAAACAAACTAAAGGTATGCAACAATGAGGAAAATACAGAAGACGAACATAAAGTCTCTTCTCCATTCCTCTTGGAATACAAGGGATAATTTTGACTGGCCAACAAAAATATCTAATTTTTCTATTTACTGCGGGGTTTATCAAAACAAAATTTTGTAAACTTACGTCTCGAGATTTCCTCCTTCCATTACCGTCTGAATCGGTAAATAACCAAGTTTTCGTGGCGGTTTGTTCTTGTATCGCCTTTTCTTGAATTTGTTTCTAACCATGGCCAAGAAATCTAGTACATCCTCACCAGAGGTGGTCTTGATAAAAAAAAAACAATAACAATAGTATAATTAGATCTAGGGTAATTGCTTTTACCTAAGATCAGTTGCAACACTTAACTTTTAGCTCTTAATATAGTAAAATGTCAATCAAACTACGAACACCTACTTACCGACAGACAGTACTGATGCATTGGGTGAGTGAGACGATGATCATGGGAGACTCGGCCCGACCAGAAGCAGCTCTGATGAGGAATGACAAATATGATGGTTAGGAAACTAGAGAGGTTCATTTGCTGCCAACAGCTAGAAAAGCAATACTCTCCACATTCAATGGTTAATACCTGACATAAATCGTAGTTGAAGCACTTTAGACAACGGAACCTGCAACAAATACAAAACATTTTAAGAGGATATCTTTGTAATGCACTAAAGAAAGCACTGAGTCCAAATAAAGAAACAGAAGGGTGACCTTGAAGAAAATTCACCCACCTAAACCCAACAATAGGGTACTCTTTACAAATGCTGCACTTTGCTTTGTGTTTCACTATAAGAGGGGAAAAAAGAAAAAAAAGAACGTGAATGACAGAGAAAACCAGAAGCTTTTGCGTCTTTAAAACAGTAATCGCTTAACTTCTTTCAGCAAAATTACCAAAGGTATGAATGTAATAAAGAAATACTAGATCACAAAAGCAAATTTGAAGTGAAGTGCTTACCAGCCTCTGACGCGGCCAGTCTGTGAAGTGTTGGGAGCCAAACAATAGACTGAGGTTCCTCTGATAACCACGTCATAAACTCTGCACAGTCGATGGTCTTTTTTTCTCCTGCCTGCAGACAACAGACAGCAAAGATCAAATCAGTTCTAGACTATTGACTGATATTCTGTTTGAACTTATGACCAATAATAATAATAATATTATTAATAATAATAATAGTAATAATAATAATTTAATATTTATATTGCGCAAACTAACATGTGGATATGATCAAATGCGCATCACGACACTTTTCGGGGGACTTTGGCCGGACTGCATCAGCAGTTTACAAACAATCGAAGGAAACTTATTTGAAGATGCCCCCTTCCCCAAATTCCCAGTAAGCAGGTCAGACCACATCACAGTAATCTCGTGAGTGGGTTCTTTAACGTCCCCTGCCTAACCAAATTAACTAATTCATAGAAGCAAGAGACCAAAGATGTGGTGCTTGCCGAATTAAACTTAGCTCGACCGACATATCAGATTTAGAGCGTTCACTGGAGTAGTTATGGAATGGCACTCAGGAGGAAGAGATCATTTCAATCAGCGTATTTCGACTGGGTCTGGTAAAACAAAATGGCTAAAATGTTCCCCGATGCTAATCAGAAGAGAGGGATCGAAATATCACAAGGAAGGAGATGAGAGCTCAGAGTAAAATAAAACAACAAGAGGCGAATTGTTTTAGTGGTGCATCTGCTCGGCCGATAGGATGGGGCGTGTTTCCTGTTCCAATCCTAAAGGAACGTTCTGCCACACCAATGTATTTAGAGGGGAATTCGTCACGATAATGATATCACCATTTTCACACCGTCAGGTTCAGCGTTACAAGCTACGCAGAGTCTTAATCTCGCAGTGTTTATGACCTGATGTTAAGATTTTGCGACAATTTTATGATTCCAAATGATTAATTTAAAAAACTTTGAGTTTGGAACCTCTGAAGTGGCCTACCTTCGAGAAACAGCTTCTCACACTCGGTTCAATGTTACTGCCACCAAAAGCGGCGATCTCACCCAGTTGACGGGGAATCTGCAAAGCAAATGGGAATAAAATCTTGACATTAAGTAGATCTATCAGGTTAAGACACCATATCTTGATATAAGGTTCTGATAAAAAAAATTAGACCAGGAGAATGTCTTGTTCCCAATTAAATGCCCGTATTTAACGAGTAACAGCCCTGTTTTTGTCTCGATGTCAGGCTGTACAACATTCAGTAACGAAAACAGAGCTTCAATTCACCTGTAACGAGTCATGTAAGAGCAATCCAAGTTGCTTGTGGTCCATTAAGCCTTTTTCGTCCGTAACAAGCCGGTATAAATCTGAAAGAGACATCGAACTTTTTTTTTAACCTGGACCACGCAAGAAAATATTTAAGCATAACACAAAATCAAACCTTCAAATTCTTACATTTGTATTTGTCTTCTAAATGAGCTCTAGCCATTGTCACCAGACCAATTTTGAATGATAGAACACGAATTTTTCCGACTCGCCCGCTGAAAGAAGGAAACAGACTTAACTTTAAATGCCCTTGTGCAGAACGATGTTCTGAGAAGGAAACACACTTAAAATGCAATTAAAATTTCACAGACGAATATACTTTAAACCCTATATAACTCTGGAAAAATTGGCTTCAATACTTGCTGCCTCCCCTCCTCTCTCCTCCCTACCCCCTCGACTCGTCGGCGATGGGGGGGGGGGGAAAGAGGAGAACCCTAACTGGTGCTCCAGAGAGGTAATTATGTCTCGAGGAGCATGTAAAACTGTCTTGGCATTAGAAGTCGGCTAACATTACTCGAACTAAAACGATGATACTCGGCCTAAAGCCATTTCAGTCGCTAAGTTAAGCAATGTAACCATGCCAACAAACTGTAATTGAAATAGTTACCTGTCATAGACGTTAAGAAGCCAGTTAAGCGTCAGGTCAACACAGAACTCATTGCTGGTCATCGATAAATCCGCTGGCACCTCAATGTTCTCATATATAGTCGTCAATACCTTGACCATATCCGGGACACCGATTAAAGAATCGTTGGTAGATTGTTTCAGATGGTGCTGCTCAAAGGCTGATATCACATTGTTGAGGGTCACCAGGTCCACTGTTTAGAGAACAAATTGTCGAATTAATAAATACCTCAGGTCTGTTTATCAGAGCACAACCAATGTTTATCCACATTTTGAAATGCAATATATTTCATATATCAATGGTTGTTAAATCAAACTTGAAAACAATATTTTAAGCCCTTGCCATTTATCTTCACGTGTATAGCAAAAACAATAAGCTTACCTAGTTTCGAAAAGAATTCAGAGTATTTTCCTTTAATGTTATTTACGGATCGATAAAGGAAAAGTTCTGTTCTGTCTACAACTATTATGCGGGGAAAATAGCCCCCTTAAACGAGATAAATGGGAAAATTATAAAATAGGAACTTGAAAAACATTCAAAACTCAAGACAGAAAACAAGTGAAGATCAACTTACGACTAGTAGCCTTCTGAATACATCTGAGTTTCATGGCTGTTCTGTAAGCGCTGTACTTGATGTCGTTCAATTCCGCTGCAAAGAGAGGGAAACAAGAAAATTAAGCACAGTCATTCTAAAAGCAAATTTCTATCAACATCTAACCTCTTCTCCAAAAAGTGGGAAATTCGGAGGCTCAGTCGTTGGCCGTGTGGAATCCGTATCAAAAGTTACAAGGTTTGTCGTTCTTATTGCTCCTAGATAATGGAGTACTCACCGATTTGATGGTAAAGCTCGGTCATCTTTGGATGATCCCACTGTGTTGTTTCTGTCTTGTGGCTGTGACACAAGTTATAACGAGGAAATATTAATTATGAACACAGTGAAAAAGTAATTGTCAGTAACAGAACGTCTACTAGTACAAGCTAATAGTGCAGACTGAAACAACAAGCAAGCGGCAAATATCATAGTAGCCGAACAATTTTCAGCAGTGAAACGTGTTAACAGAAACAAAGCCAGGGAGAAATCGATGCTGTAAACAAGAAAGGCAAAACCTGCAAACTTACTTAATGTAGTAGGGAACCTTGTTCAGCGCTACCGCTCGTTCCCAGGGTGGTTCGACACTCGCTAATGACGAAAAGGAAAGTAAGTTATTCAGGTCAACAAACTGGCTGAAATTACTAGTACATAAAAGACATATTCCAGCTAAACAACGCTCAGCATTCTTACGCGAGCTGTGTCATGGCTGCCATTTTGCATTATTAAAGTAAAGGAAGGTCGGGGAAAAGAAATAAGCAAAATACACCAAGCGCCTTGGCAAACTGACGTTATTTTATGAACCTATCTGGTGTACACTAACAAAACGCCTGCAATATTGAGGAAATCCACAGACCTTGTAATCCTTGCACAGATGAAGTATCAAAGCTGGAGTAGGCTTCTTGCAGGGCGTGTTGTCTTTGTAGCAGTTGGATCTGTAATTGTTTCCATCTTCGGTACAGCTGGTCAATCCGGTTTTGAAGATTTGGTGACAGTGACACACCCTCTCTCCTCATTTCGCTCTCTGTGCTGCTGAGAGTCTCAAACATGTTCTGAAGAGATGCGATTTGTTCTTGGAGACTCTACAGGAGATAAAATAACTCGGATGAGTATAAGAAAACCCGGATGAGAAGAAGGTACTTCTGTTTTATATGGTCGCCAGAAAGCAATTCATAAATTGCTCGGAGAGTGGTGACTTTGTAATTGAAATAATCAATATTTCAACGCTTAAGAATTAGCAGAACACCTATATTCGAGCTTGACGTTGAGGCCAGGCATTGCCAAGAGTCTCACTTCATGATTTGAACTCCAGATGCCATCAAGAGTAGCAGTTCAATTTTAAAGGTTAAGTATCTCACTCAAAAAGAAGCTAAAGGTACCGATCAAGAAGTGCTGATCAGGACAAATTATTTTTTTAACTCAATAGACGATTAATATTGAGAAAGCCTTTAGGAAAGGTAAGTTTTTATACAAGGCTTTTGGAAAACAGTTGTGCTTGTACGGCGTCTAAAATAACATTGAAAAATGACATTTGGAACACAATACGGATAGTCAAGAGATCATCATCTTTTTAAATGTACTCCTTGATTATCACTACCTTGAGTTCATCCATCTGTTCGGAGAGCGAGTCAATGACGAGATCTTGAACTGGTGTCCAGTTCGATTTAGCTTGCTCGGCCTCAACCAACCGAACATCAATCTCTTCCATCTGGCCCTGGAAAAGCTGCAACTTCTGTTTAGAAAAATATTAAAATAAATAAACAAAAGGAATTCGCTGGAAAAGTGAGCATTACTCTTATCCAATTCCACATCACAACCTATAATAGGGCTGGGTCATGCCGAATGGGTACAGGTAGGAATAATTTCTTATTGTCAGATCCGCAAAATACAATATCAGTGTTCTACACGCAGCTTTAGGCGGTAGGATTGATTCTCTCAAACTCTGCACGTTTAATGCCTCATTCATGACAATTGGCTTGCTGATGTTACGTCACCATGTTAATTAGGACATGGTTTCGTTTGTTTTTAAAGTGGTCTACTAAGCATTCAGGCTACGAGTTCGAGAATTCTATCAGTGACGAGTCGATCAAAACTTAACAAAACAGGGTCATGTTTTATTGAATAATGATAAGCCACGTGCAGTTCACTTCTTTAACTCTACTCACTAGTTATCGCGGAATAGATAGCGAGTAGCATAGCCAATCAGACTGTGATAGAACGCTAGTAGATTTATACTAATTCTCATCCAACTCAGCTAAAACAACTGAGTTATAGATGCCGTTCTTAAAAAAAAAAAAAAACCTTGGATTGGATTATTCCACAATAATACTAAGCTTAGGCATAGAAGACAGAGGATAGAGTGAGGACAGGCTTACATCAAGAACTACTCAGACATTTACATCAAAAGGTGTTTTTGTATTTTCCGGAGCGCTCGATGAAGAGTTTTTTTCCTACACCTGTAAAACTCGAGTAAGATAATGTTAATTCCGATTTTCGATTAAAACTCAAGTTAACAAGTCTTGTCAAGGAAACACCAAACACGAAAGTTCGCTCATTACGATAAGTGCTAAATACCTAACGTCAATAGAAAAGACATCCCCTGTCGGAAGTTTCAACGAACATAATCAGTTTGGTAGTATCGTATAATAGATAAGACGCTTCAGTGATGTTCTACTTGCATAATAAGCCCGGGTTAAATATTTAAGTTTTAAAGTAGAACTCCTTTCTCTTGAATTTCTTTAAAAAACAAACACTGAGAGGTCTTACAGGATGTGCATAAAAACTATTACAAACCAAAACATCCATAAGTTAAATGAAATATGTTGCATTTGGCATCTCTCTCCCGCTCTCTCTCCCCCCTTTCTCGATCGCATAAAAATGGCAGGAACGTCTGCAGCATGTCATGAAGTAAAGCTCATAACTAAATAAATATTTCAACAATCCAAATCATTTCTGCAGACAGGAAATGTTTTCTCAACAGATAATTTATGTTCCAGTTTTATCAGCACATGTACTTCAGTTTCACAAGTACTTTAACCCGTAATTTGAGCAAACAAAAGTAGTTGCTTATCTAAAAAAGTTGAATAAAAACCTTGCAATAAATCTCCTTTGAATATAGACCCAAAAAATCCACAGGATGATAACTTGATAAGTAGGCGGATAATACGATTTTCATTTTTAAAGCGCAAGCGTGTACATCAAAGCGGAATTTCTTGTGTAAACAAGAGTTAGGCTATCTTAGGTTCAGAGCGGGTTTTAGTTGCTACTTTTAGATTATGCAAAAAAAAAAAAAGAGAAGACAAATACTTCACGTGCACCTCTGCTAATGTAATCTATTGCATAACTTGCACTTATTGCAAAAAGATATACATCGGCGAAACGGGCAGAAGACTAGGTGACCGATTCCGAGAACACCTTCGAGACGTGGAAAGGAATGACAAGGACACATCTAAACCAGTCGCTAGACATTTTAATTTACCTAATCATTCTAAGCAACATATGGCAATCTGCGGTCTTTCCTTGCACTTAGGTGGCACGGAAAGCCGTAAAAATCTTGAACAAAAGCTCATCTTTCAAACCGGCAGTCTCAATCCCACAGGGATCAATGAACGCTTTTCATTCCACTAATTTACTCTTGTTTTTCTCGTTGCCATGCACCCACCAATAACGTAGCTCCATTTTCTGCCTTTAAAAGCACACACAACCCACAATTCCTCTATTCGCTCCGACGAAGGGCTAACGCTCGAAACGTCAGCTTTTGTAATCATTACGGTGGCCAATTTACCATTTCAACTTTGTTGATATATCCAAATTAAGACAAATAATGGAAGAGTTTTACTCTTCCCGACAGCAGACAGGGAATACAAATCACGCGTATTGTAGAAACAACTAAATTCAACTGGGAACTTTCCCAAAAGTAACGGGAACCGCCAGGAAATGATTCAAATGTTGATTAGTTACCAATGATCAAATTGCTTTTTAGTCAAGTGATTATCATGTAACCACTCCCTAAAACTTCCACACATTATCCAGCAACCAAGTAATACGAATACCCAAACTTATCAGGCAGAAGTTGATGTCTTGATCTCACACCAACTTCTTATAATTAACTTACAAGGAAATACGTATGATGCACGATCCTCGCAGTAGAGAGCGCTATTTATGCAATAGCGAAAATCAGACCTGAAAAAAATCAGGCCTGTACGGGATTCGAACCACTGACCTCTGCGATACTAGTGCAGCGCTCTAACAATTGAGCTAACAAGCCAACTGGGAGCAGGCCGTTAAGTTGATTCGTAATAAACCCGTGATGATAAATCAGATACAAAGAATATATGAAGTTCATATATTTTTTCTTTTTTTTTTTTTTTACAAGGAAATGTCTAGCAGCTAGAGGGGAGAATAAAAAATCAGATCTTAGGAGTTGGCGGGTTACCCACTTTGAGCATTTTAAAAAAGAGATGCTCTTTTTAATTAAAAAAACAAGATCTTCAAGAGATATCATATCAATTCGGTTCTCGCATATTGTTTCCGTGTTGTTGCGATCAAGCATCAATAACACTTGAACAAATTGACTCAACATTATTTTCCGTTACAAAAGGAAATCCTATGATGTTCATGAGATGGGTTTCACTTCTCTGAAACTCAACTAATGATCCTTTTTCCATTTAAAATCAGTACAGGTTATCAATTCTTCTGTTAGTAGAGGTAGTACTTCAAAAATTCATTTTCGATGCAAAATTCTACGCGACGAATCTAAATAAAATTGCGTGACCAAGGTCTTCGAGTTCCGTGTGTAAATATTTAACCTATATTGACTCTGAAAAAAATGAACTTGGCATACAACTTTACGTGGTATTTGCAAAAAAAAAGAATCAAATTTGAAATTAATAGGTTAACTCAACATGTGCATAATGGAGATAAATCAATTAACGAAACGATGGCGGACAAACGCACGGCTGTTTCAGCGGTAGAAACAAATCCACGACTTCTTACTATTTTGTATAAGAGCAAAAGCATAAGAATTAAATACCAAAACAAGTGTTAAATTTTTCTCCAGTACACATCTTATACAACATATTAATGGAGTTTAGTGTCCAATTACAGTTGAGCCGTGTGAAAGTGAGTGTTAAATACTGGATCATTGTTCAAAACCGCATAGGAAAGGTTCCCAACAATTCTTGCTTTCAGCTAATAATATCGAAAACGTCACTAAACCGGCGAATCATTCTTAGTTTCTTTTTTTTGGCTTGTTGTTGACGAAAGAAGGTGACTAAGCGTTTCCTTCTTCACTGACCAGCCCAGCTTCCATGAGATTGTGATCGGATTGCCATTAATACGGGTCGAAATTCGTTAAGTGTGGGAAATTCCTGAAATGTTATTGTCTTCTCAATACAAACTACACGGATAAAATGTTCGTCCCGGGAACTGGTCGTAAACTTAAGTGCGTGAAAACTTAAGGGTAAAAAATGAACCAATTTACGGGACAATTTACGCTAAATGACTGCAACATTTAACCTCGAAAAGAGGGCTAAACTGTGCGCGGAGGTCAAGATCCATTCACGTTTCCTGTTATGCGTAGAGATAAATTTCTATGTGATTTTTTGACGACCACAAAACGACGCATCACTCACCGAGGCGAAGGGAAAAAATTGATCAGCCGCTTAGCTCAGAACAAATACGAATTGCTCCAATGACAGATTATAGCAATGAACGACAGCTTCGCACCAGTAACCTCCATGAAAAACAACCATAAATTCATTACAGTACCACTAATTATCAGAATGAAATTTCAACTTAAGTTACCAACTGCTAAACTGTCTGCTAAACAACTGCGTCCAATAACCTTCATAAAGTGTTTAGCACTTACCATTTTGCCACAAAGTTACAAAGATCCTGGATATTTTACGATTTGATACGTATTTAATTTAAGTCAACACTGAGTGCAAGACTAATTGTGAAATATGAACCTGTATTGCTTGCTGATGCGATGGGCCGGATATGAGTGGTTTCCACGTGACCTATGTGCTCTAAACTCTTCCATTGAATCAAAGGTGTATCCGATGAAGAAAGATAAATAGTGCAAACAAGACAAAAATACCAGGACCGTTCTCTATTTGAAGTGCATCTTGATAGCTTTCATATTTCAATATAATTGTATAATAAGTTTAAAATAGATGTATACGACATACGATACCCTAGCTGAAGGAAGGTACGTTTAAGAGTCCAATTTAAAATCGAGTAGGTATTGTTTCGTAAGACACGCGAGAGCCGGACGAGAGAAACCTTCGCCAACCAAATTTTATAATTCCTTTCCTCCCTAACAGCCACGCTTTCCTCGCTGCCGTGGTTTATCTTGGAAACCCTCTTGCATTCGAGCACCATGCAATCTTCTCGTTCACCACCCTACCCTCTACAGTACTAGGCCACTGACGGTCGACCAGGGGCCCCCGTCGTTCAAAGGGCGGATAACGCTATCCAACTGATTAACCGCTATCCAGCGGAGACTGAAGTGGCAACAAAACGAACAGAGCTACCCACCCGATATTTATCCAGTCGATAGCGTTATTTATCCACCCATTGAACAACCGGTGCCTAAAAAAAAGTGCATTTTTTTTCTCCTTTTTTTTTTTTTATTCACTCATCTCTCGCGATATTTTAGACGCATTTGCACCGATAAAGATTGCCCCACACTACGAAATGGCGTATATTTCCGAGCCAAATTTCGCAAGAAGTATCAAATCTAGAACGATGGCACAATTGACCAACGCTTGGACTTAAAGGAACACATCTCTTTCCTGTTACCTTAAAGACTACTTACCCTTAGGACTTCATCGATCCACTGCTGCCAATCCTCTGATCGCCGGCACAACATTGACCAGCGTTCACTGACCGTGTCGATCTGACGTTTAAGATTCTGTGCAATGCGCACCCGTGGTGAATCTTTTGGTTCGTCAGCGGCTCGGTCAGTTTTATATTCTTCTAAAACCCTTCGGCTGTCGTCCAGAGCGCGATCGACAACCAGACGCCTCACATTTAGTTTGCCCTTGAAAGCCTACAAGTGGAGGAGACCACAAAGTTTTACAATCATAATTCTTTCAGCTAATTAACACTCCTTACTAGCCACTCATTAAGCAATTCATCTTATCTAACGCAAGCAATATTTTTTCCAAATTTGAGATGCAGCAGAAAAAATTGAATCAGTTACAAAGAATTTACGAGGACTGTTCCTTGAAATTTCAATCTTGTCCGAAAGAGAGAGACTGCTGGACATAAGCGCTCCAAACCAAAACTACACGTTTTGAAAACCTTGTTACACATAAGCAATATTTCAACAACCCAAAAATGGAAGCAATTGGTTTAATTTTGAGGGCTCAACGATCTATTTTTAGGTCAAATTCTTTTATTAGACAGAAATCGTTACTTGGTGCATCTCGTTCTGGTTGCGCACGCTTTCCACGTCTCCTCCTATTGGCTGTTGAAGAGTCAGCTCCTGATCAGCACGTGCAATCCAATCGATTATCTCCTGAAGATCCATCAATAACTGACGCCACTCGGTACTAGTGTCCTCCAGCCGATCTCGGATGTCCAGCGTACGAACATTGAGTGACTGCCATCTTTCAATGATGAAGGGGAAAAAACAAAATAAAATCAATTAAGACGCTCCGCAAAACGTGAACACCACCACAAAGTCGAATACGATATCTCTCAAAAGAAGGGATGTGATTGGCACCTGTCATTCATATCATCAAGCTTGGCTTGAACAGCGGTTAGCACGTCCCCAGGCTCCATCTCGGCCATAATCAGCTGGCCATTTTCGTTCAGCGAAGCAAACATTTCTTGATGTCCATTGATGTCATCTTCAAGGAACTAAAACAATGATAAAACAATCGAAACACTCCGAACATTACAAACTGTCTGAAAATAACCTTAGTAAAGTGCCCTTGTAGGATAGTTCGTTTAGGAATTTCGCGTACTTTTTGATAGAAACGATTGGTTACAATGTTAACTGGAAGGGGCAATAGTTCATTTTCTCCTCTCCACAAATAATCGCTTTTGTGGAATTGTTCGGGTGAACACAGAGATGCACGTGTCCTGATTGGTCGAAGACTACGTCAGATCTTGTGATATCCACCCCATGCAAAATAATTAAAGACAGTTTAAGAAAATGAAGTCGCTCTGAGAATGAACCAAGTTTTTGCGTTAACATGATTATTCGCCCCAGGCTCAGCGAATACTGTCGAATTACTCGTCGATATGATTATTATCACCACATAGAGGCGCTACAAATTTATCAGAGGCATTGCAACGTGTCACCCTAAATTAACATGGTGTATTATCTTTATTGTCATTAGTAGTTCGCCTTCGACACAGTACTCTCAAATAATACACACGTAATATTCTCTAACACTAACGGCGCATTCCCTCTCACGACTAATTTACTGTTTATCACACGTCAACAAAATTGAAATTGAGTGTGCTGCAATGCAGCAAACTGGAGACCTACTTTCAATTCCTTCCTGAGTGCATCCATGTCTTGCTGCTCCTCGGTACTTGTTGCTTCCACTGCGCTATCTAACTCCGCTACTTTAGACTCAGCTGACGTCAGCCATGTTAGTGCATTGATCATGTCCTCGTGGAATCGCACCATGCGGTCAAAGGCTTCCTTCAGATGTTTCTTACGAGAGTCAGATCTGAAGTAATAAAAAGCACCCATATAAATACGACAACGACAAAATCTGCTACGTAATAGCCAAACGCGCAGACAACAACGGCCAAAACACAAAAGGGTCCGACAGATTGTCCCATGTTAAGCGCAGTTTGATCTGGTCGCACTCTTACTTTAAAATCAGCTGAATTAGTTTTTCAAAGAGGGAAATTTAAGGCGCGCACCATGCCTTTATACTTATCAGCATCTACCCAATGGGTTAGCGACTGTAAAATAAAAGATTACCTCTCAAACAAGCAACTCCAACAACGCATGATGAATAGACGATCTCAGAATTATTCTCTTACATGTACCTAACGCAATTTTGTTTCTCAGTTCCGCTAAAACGTCTCCTACAAATTGTGTAAAGATGCTCCCAAGAGTACGCTAAGACAAACTATTTCAAAAGCACGCCAATTTAAAAATTAAAGTGGTCAGACATAGCAGCTGTTAGATTCTTTACTACTTTCGTTACATCATATCAAAAGGGAGTTCGATTCTTCTTTCTTAAATATGCGTTTCAAAATAAAATGGGCGTGATATGCACCACTTTTCACTCTACCTAAATTAAAAGATCAGCACAGGATCCTTCACACCGTACAAGATTTTTAGAAATCACATGAAATACTTCACAAAAAAATTATATCTGATCTCGGAAGTACGGTATTTATTAAGAATTTCAATTTTAAATCAGCTAATTAGCATCATATCTGTTATTATTTACTTTCCTAAGAGAAGAACTCAATAGGTGGTCTAATCGTTCAGTCAATAATTAGTCTTTGCTTTGTTCAAAGAAATTTGCACGAGTACCAAAGAGATTTCTTAAAACTACAGCTTTGAGAAAAAGACATGCATTGCGATCAACCCGAAAAATTTAGACGTTGACAAAACCGGCATAATACCTTGATGTTAATTTCTTGTGAAACCAGGACTTCTCAATCTAAAGTTAACAAATATATGCATTTATAGCCCAATTCAATATCTTTCCACCACAAAAAAATTCTCCGATATAGATCACATCAATCTGAATTGGTACAAGTGTCGAATGATAAAAATTTTTTTAAGTTCTTTTTTTTTTTCAGATCTGTTTTCTATTGTTTGGAAAACCATCTCATAACCAAAAAAACACGCGACTCCTAGCCCAAAGATCACAACGTAACGTTACAAGAAATAAACTGAAGAAAATTTGAGCGAAGGACGACATCGTAAAAAAAAAAAAAGAAAAAAAAAAAGTCATTATGGTATTTGTATTGTTTTGTGTTCAATCATATTGTTGTAAACATTTCCAGCGATGATAGAAAGGAAAGGCACAGCAACAAGAAAAGGAGTTATACCAGCGTTATGTTACGACTAAACTTGAGTAACACGCAAGCGGGCACAAATCTTGACTCTTTGTAAAACACATACAGATAGTCTGGAAAGTCAAATAACAGCCCGAAACTGAACACAACTTTTTTGAATTGACTTAAAGTATAAAATGAGGTTCGTCGCAAGTTAAATAATAGGCGTTAGTTACACTTATAGGCTTCATCGTTAATTAATATTTTGTGATTATTCCACAGATGTATGATCAAAAGCTGTCGCGAAATACACAGTTCTCTTTAGACAAAAGTAAATTACAATCTTCACTGTTCCTACCTATTGGTAATCTTACTCCATCTCTCATTAACCTCAGACATGGAATTTTTCAGTTCTCCCGATTCGTAATGAGGGAATTCTTGTACCAAGTGTTCACCGCACTGATTCACAGCAGTGATACTGCCGCGCCAGTTTTCGACATCATCTTCAAACTCCTGTGTAAATTCAGAGGAAGTTATTATGAGGTGAGGCAAGAAGGGTACATGCGTTAAGGAATTATCCAGTCGTGTACTGCCAAGTGTTCCTCGAAAGGAAATGATTGAGTTACATTCAATCATTTCATTTTCAATCATTTTCATTCTTTCAATTCCCCTTCAATTCAGATTTCTTGGATATTTCAATTAAATAAGAAGATCCTATTGTGCGGCCTGTCTGGCAATTTGAACGAGTTAATTGAGTATCCTACATCACAACTAGAAGGTCTGTGGCTTTCCTTAATTCTTACAGGGAAATCATCCTTTACATTTGTGACCTATAATCAACAAATGTCTTTTACTGTTCAATTATACCTCACTGACCTTATGTTTGTCGATTTGTTCTTCCAGTTCGCTGACCGTGTAGCCGTACACGTTCTCGTCTTTTTCTAGATAAGCTTCGGCTTTCCTGATCCACTCTAGTAGCTCTTCCCGAAGTTCCACGAATCTCTTCCATTCCTCGATCAAGTAATCGATTTGACCTCGCCAGACGCTCGAATTGTCCGCGATAGTCTCCCAATGACCCTTCAATTTGCTGACCTATACAAACGTCCAAATAAGGTCACACAGTTAGACTGGTTCATCTCTTGAATATTTGAAGTAAAGGCACATGAGATTTGTGAGGCTGAATTAAGCTCAACTAATTCAGAACTTTCTAACTAAGGAAAGTTCAATGGCTCGAGATATTTGGGCAATCCGTGTCATGTTCTCACGCGACTCACTTTGCTGTCGATCAAAAACTTGTCTTCCTCAGTCTGCGCATCATCAGCAAGACTTTGACCCATTTCAGCAATTTCGTCCAACAAATGCTGTTTGGTCTTAAGCTGTTCGTCTATGGACTAAAACAATAAAAATTTACGCGCATTAAACTTATTTCCTGAAAAAGGCTTACAGTGACAACGAGCTCTTGAGTTGGTTTCACTTCCTAATACAAACTTCAATGCAGAAGAAATTGAACAAAAAATTCACTAGGCTTCACTCATGTCAGCGATGATCTTTTTCAATTTTTTTTTCCTTGTCCAATTCCTCCCCTTTATAACCTCATAACAAGCGAGACCTGCTTGGGCTCTTGAACGAAGGAGAAGGAAAAAGAAGAAAAGCCAGTGAGTCTTAAAATACCTTTTGTTTCTCCAAAAGTCCTTCCATGTCTTCAGAATCTCCCAGGACTATCTTCTCTGTTTTCATCATCTCTGATAATGTATCGAGCCAGTCATGAAGTTCCAACACTGCTTTATCGAACTTCGGCCATGGAGATGCTCGCTCTTCAAATGAAAATAAAAGACAAAGTAAATAGTTTTCATCTGAGCAACTGCAACGTTGAGAACCCCTTTAAAAAATGATACTGAACAAGAATGCGATGGATGGACCAAAATAATTTGGTTCCGAATGTTAGCATAAACGTTCGAAACTTCCTTTACGATTCTTCGCTGCCATAGCAACATAAGTCGAGGATATCAGAAGGAAGGAATTCCTAAAAACAATTTCAGCTTACCCTCTGTAATCAGCGGGATGCCAGTGTGAACTGACGGTTGATCCGCCTTGACAACTGTTTCCTCGAGAACTCTAGGGGGCGAGCGAAGGCGAGCGAACATGTTAGCGGTGAGTGAAGCAATTCGACTCCAGTTATAATTAAGTTCTTTGACTTTAACCTCCAGAGACTTTGGGACCTGGTTTCCATCAAGTTTACTTTCACGTCTGTAGCGCGCCATGTTTTCGTTTACTGCGTCAAGCTTCGGTTGACGAGACTTCATTGACTCTTGAATAGTCTGCGAAAAAAAATAAACACATAAAGCTAAAAAATAAAGAACAGCGTCCCGGTACGGAAAATAAACGTCCTCGCGTTTCTATGTTGAATCCTGAACCACTTAATTTTTTGCATTAGCGAAAAACTAGAGTACCTCTCTACTTGAGTCTTGCGCTGACATCAAAGTTTTCTTCTTCACTCCAACATAATTTTTCAAAAACTTAAAGTCTCTCCGGTGAGAATTAATTGTATTAGTGACAATGATTTGTTGTGTTTTATAGGGTGGGACATGCCTTGACCGTAAAATAATGATTATTGTTTTATCAATTATCAAATTACTTGATAATCAGACACATCGACCCAAAACAGCAAAAGAACTCTTCCTAAATCGAGATATTTTGGTGTCAGAGTCTAAAACCGTCCTTTTCCTCTCTTCAGATGAAGTCGCAACAAACCTTAGGATTGATATCAACGACTTCCACACTTTCTCCCTTCTCCCACAGTTTTATTGTCGTAGAGGCCCATGAACTAAGCTCTTCTAGATCACCAAGGAACTCTGACACGCGTCTCAGCTTGGACTCCACTCCGCGCGTGCGCGTGGCGATATCTGCGCGTAGAATGTCCCAACGAGTAAGAAGGATGTCCAGCCTCGCTCTGATGGTCTCCGAGTTGGGTTTAGAGATAGCTGGCTTAACCAGAAGTCTATTTGCCGTCTGTTGAATGCTGTTCTTTGTATCTTCTCTGTCGTTTTGTTCTTTATGAACTCCCTGTAAAAAACCAACACATCACTGTTTAAAAATACACCAGTTGAGGAGGATTTAGTCTTCAGTCTCTCAAAGAATGGATTCTTTTTCACGCACACACTCTCCCTCCTGTGTTGTGTTACGAGAACAAAAACGGCTGAAAATAAAAACACCTTGCTAAACGAATTAAATTGAAAAGGAAAAGGAAAGGGGTTCATATCACCACAGTCTCGTCTCATTCTAAAGTACTGTGATCAGCCAAAAGCACGGCTTTCTTCCACAGAATGAAAACTAACTCACTTTGATTTTTTCAATCAATTCCACCAGTCCATCCTCATCAGCTGGTGACGGATCCCTAGTTTGCAATTCAGCATCTGCTTCGTCCATCCACTGCAGCATTTCTCTACTTTCCTCCAAAAACTCTTCAATCTGCATGGCTTCCTCTTTAAATCTATGGTAAGTGAAGAAAAAAATTCAATTAATTAAAAAGCCCGACAGCCCTAACAAGGATAAATCTAAAAACACGAAGAAGTTGATAGCATGATGATGGAGATGGAGATCCAATTTCCAAAGGGATATGAAACAAATTCATGTACATAACAGGACTTTTTATCGTGGAAGCTCGCCATCGAATACTGCTGCTGGACACTCAATCGCATGCGGTTCAGGTCATATCTATTATTAGATATTCGTTTCAGATTAAACTTCAAATCCTCGTGAGTAACACACGGAAGAATTTTTTTAAACGCTTAATAACCTGTCTCTTCTGTTAGCTACTTGATTGCAGATGGATTCCCAGCGCCTGTTTTGTGTGGTGAGTTTGTCCCGGAGCATATCAGCCTCCACAGTTGTCGATTTACTGATAATCTCCTGACCAGCGGTATTCATGGCATTGACTGTGCTCTGATGTCGGGCGATACCATCTTCCAAACCCTAAAGACAAAAAGATATTGCAACAGTTACGACTGCAATTACATGAATTTTTTCAACGCAAACAACTGAGCCGAGCAAAGTTCATATAACTTTGAGCAGTGAAATGCTGACATGCCTTTGGACGCGGTGAAATGGTTCTCGAATGCACCTCCAACACATTCAACCGCATGTCAAACACACTTCTGTAGCGCTTGAAACACAGTCTCAACTACAAACCAAAGCAATTACGTAGGTACCGCCGAACCGAAAAAGATTGAATAAATGTGGATGGAAAACGTAAAAATGACAACAAAATGACTTCGCCTTGTTATGCTCAATATCATACAAACATTCGATTTTTTTTTTCCTTTTAAAGCGGCACATCACCTTCTGTTCTTTTTTAGCGGCGTTAAATTCAACTTCCCCGGATGTCTCACTAAGAACCTTCTCCGCGTGTGTCATCCAAGATGTCACGTCTTTAAGATCGCAGTGGAACTGTCTCCACACTGCAACTGCTTTCTCCCAGCGAAGCGACCGCGCCTTATAATCCTGAGCGAAAAGAAAATCAGTAAATTAATTTGGTTATGAAAGCAATACCTTAATTGATTAGTAATTTGACAAGCCAATTTAGCCTGCGTATCAGCCGATTATCTTTCTCTTCCTTTCCTCCTGCACTTTCTTTCTAGACCCCATAACCCCCACATCTTTACCCGACTCCTGTTTGTTCAAGCATCTTCTCTCGCTTGGCTAAAAAAACCAAGACGACTAGTGCACAGGCTGCAGTCCAATTGGCTCCATATTTTCATGTTATCTACCCTCGCAGTACCATTTCATAAACAGTAGAATATTGAATTTGAGTTGGCAACGCGTATCCCGTACCTGATGAAGGTTATTCCATTGTAGTCTGAACTTGCTGGCGGCTCTCTTCACAGCATCGTATTCCTTTTCACTGCAGGCGGACTGAACGGTTTCACTTCGAGAGAGAACTTCAGTTGCACGTGGCTCAAAATTCTCCAGTTTCTCGCTTATTAGCTGTGAAAAGAAAACAACTATTAAAAAAAAAAAAAAAAAAAAAAAAAAAAAAAAATTGGCAGAAAGCGAATGCAGAAGAACTTTCCTTTTTCTTAAGTTACAACTCCTGTATAGAACAAAAGTTTTGACTGCACAATTTTCATGAACTTCACATTTCAATCTTTAACTCAGTCCTCTCATCAGAGAAATATGGGATAAAAGGCATTATTCAAAACTGGATCATTGGATAATGCAATTCAAGACTTTTTATTGGCTTAGCCATTATGGTATATGGGCCAATATACCATAATCTACAAATATGGTAAGCGTACGCGTCAGCTTAAAATTAAAAGGGAGCTAAAGAATTTAAGATTTGGTAAGATTTGTCTAATATCTTGGGGGCGTTTTAATAAAACAATTATTCCACTCGCGCTTGTTGGATATGAGATGATTATAGCCAACGAGGCGCGGAGCGCCTCGTTGGCTATCTATCATCTCATATCCGACGCGCGCTGAGCAACTGTCTATCCCCCTCCCCTCCCCTGACCCGACATCTGTCAACTGATAACAAGTTAGGGTTAACTCTGGGTCAGGGGAGGGGTAGATGCGTAGTTGTTCAGATACTGACAATGATACCAAATGTGTTGTGTGACATGTAACGCAACACCTAGCTGGGTCACCTAACCTTCATCACGCAACTCCTCTCTTGGTCACCTTACCTTCAATTTGTCCTCCTGTTTGGAGAAGTCTTCAAAGTCTGCTTTCTGTAGCTCAGGAGATTCCAGCAGCAGCTCCACTTCATGGACTTCATCTGACAGTTTCCTGATGTCTTCCACCAACTTCCACCCGGGAGTCAAAGCAGGCTCATGCTGCACAAGGGTTACTTGCCAGCGGACTCGCGCTAGTGACGCCTTAGTCATAATATCTTCGCCTTCTGTTGAACAAGAATGTGTCAACAGCTATCAAAATACATAGAAGGACGAAAAAAAAAACTGTTGTACCAGTATTTTTGTCATGGTGTAATGATCTGAACAAATCAATTAATAGTTCGACTCCCAAAATTTGCCACTTTTGAGTTTCGTTTGATGAAATAAATTTCACTCTTTTTTTTTGTGCTGCCTAATCTATGAAAATACTTTCGGCTACGGACACAGAAAAATAGAACATTAATCTTCTTAAAATCATATCATTCCTTCGGCGCGACTAACTATTTAACCCGGCCACTTACCATCAATCAAAACAGGTTGGAAAAACCAAAGCAGTCATTACGAGACTTTCGTAATTAATCGAACAAAACCGCCCTGCAGAGCAGTGTGTTTTAAAGTTCAACAATCCAAATGAAAATTATTCATTACGAATTTCGAAGATCTGGTCGCCCAGCTGCGACCAATGGCAGACTCCGTAAAGCCAGCAACTTTCACAATCAAACGATTTTCATAAACAGTTGTGGTTGGCAAGTACATATACTTCCCTTTTCCAAACAGTTGAAAGTTGAAAGCAAAACTGCTCTCTCGACACTTTCTAAGGTTATAATTTCGAAAAATATTGAACAGTACCAATGCGAGAAAATGAAAGTACGCTCGCCGACAACGCGGCAATGTAGTAGAAAATACAACGAGTTTAACATAACAAAGCAAACATTGTTCAAAATTAATCCAAATGAAAACATCTGGTTGAACTTCTCTTCACACCATCTTGACGGTCAATTGATAAAGCAAATTTAATGAATGCACAATTAATAAACCAACGCAAACCTTTTCTGGCGTTGAAACTCTCACGTAAGTTTCTAGCTTTTTATTTCAACTCTTAAATCCTTGGCATGGTAAATGTTCGTAGATCTATAACGAATTATAATCCTCGAGTTGCAGTTTTGTGTTTGAATTCAACCATTGCACTGTTCAAGTTGTAAAATGTTTGAATTCAACCATTGCACTGTTCAAGTTGTAAAATGTTATGAACATTGGTTCAACGACACGTTATTTGTTTATAGGATGCCCTTAGTAAGATTTTCTTCACTGACGAAGATTTGGTAGAAGAACTCGTTTACTATCAAAAAGTTTTGAAGAGTTGATGAGGCAATTTGATATTTAAGCTACGGAACAAAACCATAGGCCACTCGAATAAGAAACTGTTGCCATTGATTTTTAAGACACTAAGCTTTGTTTCCAAAGCAACGACGATTCAATGAGAGCATTATTGTATAGCTTTAATTTTACCTTCTGGTAGAGTGTAACCTTCACACTTGATGTCTTGCATGTCAGCATCTCGACCAATCCATGAGTTGCAATTGAAAAAGTAAACCTTTCTGGTTGATCTGTCCTCGACGTAAAATCCCTTCACAAACCATTCTGGCTTGGGTCCAGTTCTATCGTGCCAAACTTGGACCTTGTGCAAATCGCCGAGGTGTGGAATGTTATAAACGGTGAATATATCAAGCTGATCGCGACAGAACTTAGTATTGTATGTCTCAGATTTGTCCAAGCGAAGTTTCGGCGACTTTCCTTTATCACCGAACAACATCACAGACACGTTAGACTGCGTACCAGCATCCCTTACGTCACCAGTGTGAATTGTGATGCGGTAAGAAGTGGCTGAAAATAAAAATAAAAAATAAATTAAAAAAAGGCAAAATGTAGGCACGAATTAATGCCGGAAAATTCGCAAAACTCGTTTGCGATTAAAGGGTTCAGAAAAAATGACCCTGAAGGCAGTTAGCAGGGAGAATTGCTAAGCAGATCTCGGCAGATAAAGGGTTAGTAAGATGTTGGACTCACCGTCCCCAGCTGGCCTGTGGTACTGCGTAAACTTGGTATGAATGTCCCTAAATCTCTTCCTCAATCGCTCAATCTCGCGGGGAGTCAGTATCTGGACTCCCTGTCTGTCCAGTTCCTCAATATTCTTAAACACCATCTCGTATTTGGCTTGTTGCTCCTCGATTTCTTCCGGCTTTTAAAGAAATAGGAACGAAAACAATCCATTTATTACTGGAGCAAGTCATAATTTGTTTATCTTGAAAAACCTCGCCTTAATAGCCCAGTTCCGAGTTACCCTTGGCCTCATTTTCAAAACGAGGCCTGGTGCTCAACCATTCTTATGAAAATGAGTTTAATTTGCATGTGAATGAAAACTTATTATCATATGAAAGGTGAGCACCAGGACTCGTTTTGAAAATGAGGCCAAGGGTAATTCGGAAATGGGCTATTCAGTCAACAATTTTCAATGCATTCCATTCTTTTCTTTTCATTGCTTTATTTCCATCAGCAAATGTCAATAAACCTTCAGTACCAAACTAGAATTTTATGGTCTCTGTCTATCCAATCTCCTCTGTCGCAAAACGATTAAACGAAAAAAACAAACAAAGATTGGCGCCTTCACAAGACTGTTCTCTCCCAGTAACCCCCGGTTATTCTTCGTGGCCTTTCAAAACACCGGAGCACGGCTTCGGAAGACCAATCGACCCAGTCCTTACCTTCACAGTTAATTCTTTCTCTTGCTCCATCCTTCTGAGCCACGCATCAATGTCATCCAAGTTGCTTCTGAACTGATACCAGTTTGGCACAATACGCACAGCTTTCTTCTGCTTCTCTACTTCATCGCACGCCTTCACCCATCGACTGGACAAATCAAGCAACGACTGGTGGATGTGATCTCCCCGTGCCCCCTCTCTGTTAGCATAGGTTTTGCTCTCCTTCAACAGGTGCTCCACGCGCGGCTGAAGATTGTCAACTTGAATTTCGGCAACCTGAAAAATAGATTCGCAAGGCGTTTATCAAGCACCGACACACATATAGGTCTCCGGGAGTTTTCAAAGGTTTAACAGAGGTTCGCCGAGGGCTTTTTAAGGTTTCAACTTCTTTAACCAAAACTTCAATAAGAGCCTGAATAAAAAATTGCCTCAAAACTCTCGATTCATGTACGATTTAAGATCAAACGTGGGCTTTTGTAGGCAAATATTCTTGTAGAGGAATGATTTCTAGTCTTACCTTGATTTTCTCGTTGACTTCTTTCTCGGATGATTTCTTGGGGGATTGAATGTCAAGAATAAGACCTTCCAAACCTTTGATATCCAAAAGAATCTGATCTAAACGCCTCTGGAAGTCATCATCCACAAAATGCCCTGAAAGAAGACAAAATGTAGCTGGTAGTAAAAAGCTTGCTATTACTAACTGGATACTGCTTTACTGGTTGTAAATTACACCCACTCTAGATTACCACCTATCCTTCACCAAGGATCTGACGATGCTTGATGAAACATCAAAGAAAACCTTGGTCACCCAACAGCATTTGAACCCCAAACCTTCACAGTTCGTGACTCAATGCTGTACTACTTTATCTGTTTTTCCTTTTATAGACACATCACGCTTTCGATCTTGTTGATCACATTAGCAAGCACGGCGCTTGTCGCATGTGAGTCCAGTGTAATGGTCGACTTCATTGAGAGTTCTCTGCGGCTCAATGACGGTCTGAGGTTGGACTCCTCGTGGTAACTCAGCCTTCCTCTTTATCCCACGCGTGTAGGAATGAATAACTTCTTCCACGATTTGATCTTACGTTAAAACACGTAAAACGCAACGAGTTTTCTCCGAGATCTCGTTTAATCTTTTCAAAAGCTACAAAGTCTCACCTGGAGCCGAGTTTGTTTTGTAGCTCCTGTGAGTGGTGATGGTGGTGATGGGCAGTCCCGTGTCAGTTTCACTTCTTTCTTCTCTTGATAGATATTCATTAATAAATCCTCCGGAAGGAGAACACACTGTCTTACGTTCCTGAACAAAACAAGACATGATCGAAGGGTTACATCGATACTTTTTCTTTCATACATTTCGTTTAAATTGTGAACTTTGTAAAAGCAATTCACAAACTCATTTTTTAACCAGTAGTTTTTGAGGAGTCTTGTCGAGATACTTTGAATTATTTTCTGTGAAAAACAAAATTCAGATGGGCAACCAGGGTTAAAAATTCATTTCGGTAACTTCAACTGAGAGGACCGTAAGGTACCAGTTTGATAGAGCAAAAAGGACAAAAGTGGGAGAACTAACTCAAAAAACCAAAGATGATGGTTATTGATGCAAAAGATTTTACTAACAGCGATTACAGGAGGCTTAGAACTGAAGCTTTAGCTCTAAGGTTCGCATTTCACGTAGCTCCTTGAAGAATAGTAACACAAAAAGGGACAATTTCCTCACCGTGACGATAATCTCTGTTTCAACTCGACCTCCTTTAGCTCTGGCTTCTGCAGCCGTCCTTTTGGCCTCATCCAAGTCGTGCTCCAGCTGGCTTATCCTGGCCGACAGGTCATCCCACCTTCTGTCCAGTAGACGCTTGTAAGGCTCCATGATGGGACGGCCGCGATGAACGAATTCACCGCTCTGTTTCCTGATTAGGTTCAGCTGAGGCTCGCGGTTCTTGATGCTTTCTTGTATTTCCTGTCACAGGATGAAAAAACAGAGCGACCACTTAACAAAACTTTCCAAAGTATCGCTTATAAGAGGTGCGATTGGGAGGAAGAGAAAGAGCAAACATAATTCGAGGAACTTTTCCGAGGATTAACTTTACTCTTTGAACCCTAACACAAGTATTCATGTTCTCCACACTGTTCTTTTAACATTTCCTCTGATACTGATTAGTAAAATTTGTTTGAGAATTAGGAGCTTCTTAAATTGGTGATCATTTCCTTTATTCTCATGAGCTTTGCACTTGATTCCCTGAGATGATACTATAAAGAGAAATAGGAGGCCAGTGACTCTCCGAGGTTGAAGGGTTAAATCAAAGAGCTCCAATTAACGCGTTCGATATGAAACACTGGTTTGCCGTGCAAATTTGATGTTGCATAAGAAAAATACTCCTCAGATCACAACTTCCCCGGTTAACAATCTCCAGGTAGGTGACGATGTATCAAAATTAACGGGATTCTTCAAATGTTTACCATTATTGAGAGAGAAAGGGTGAAAACTCAGATAGGAGTTTTTTGACAAAACATGAAAGGTTTTGAGATGATGTTTATTCTGGTAAGATGTTTATTCTGGTACCGATTTCAGCACAAAAAAAGAAAGGGACTTTACCTACTTCTCTTAATCTTGTAGGAGTAAAAAATTAGAAAGATTTGCTTATCTTCCAACATGTTTGACGGTATACTAGGAGAAAACCTCCTAAACCTATACTAGGATTATTATTGATTCAATATCCGATGTGCTTTTGCGGTGAGATGTATACAGGCGTTACGATATCGTAGGCCCATCCAATGACAAAACACATCACAGTAGACCACATTTCAATTATATTGAGCCAACCCTTATTCAATTAATTCAGGAGGGTCCTTCATCATTGCGTGATAAGACGAAGGTAGAGATACAATGAAAATCACATCATACACACGTCTGAGTTTGGAATGCTATGATTCTATATTGACACCTAACAAAAGACGCTACATTTCCGATGCTATAAATGTGGGAATATTTTTATCTTACAAGTGTTTGTGGTAAAATGAATAGTAGTAGAGACATAATTCGAATATTTAGAACAACCGTGGGCTTCCGCAGATATTTTCAATTGTGTTTTTCCGAGTAGATTAGTTTTAAAGTTTAACCTATTGACTGGCCATTTGCTAAGTTGCAATGTGATTTCAATACTCATGAACAGACGAACAAAGCAGCTTATGTCTTGCTAGGGACCATCTATCATCTATTTGCAGTGCACTTGTAACAGGATGTAAGATTACTTCTGCTAAGGTTACTTCTACTCTCCTTTAAGCGAAAACGAGCCACTGATTTAATATAGAATATTAGAAATTTATTTGTTCTAAAATTAGACAAAAGAAGACAGGGGTTGAGTTCAATATCGCAATGATCATCACACACCAGGTAAATACGAGGGCTGGACAATTGCTTTGATTCTCGAGAAAGAAGAAAAATTAGCTTTGCCTAAAGAAAGTGTACCATTCCATTTCATTTAAAATTCCTTTTTTGAAATCTTGACTGAAAGCAAGAATTTTTGCCCTTACTAGTATAGGAGTTTTTGCTATCCAAGCCCCGCGTGCGGTGTACTAGAGACTATAAAATAATGCATTCTTAATCAGATGCTATCACTCTTCGACTTTTAAGTGTAAACATAAAATTTCAAAGCACTTACGTCAATTTTGTTCTTAGCGACGTCCGTTTCGTCTAATTTCGGCTCCACTTTGTTAGTTTCCTTTTCCATATCTTCCAACCATTGGTTCATTTGATCCACGGATTTCTCAAAATCTGCAAGTTTTGCCTTGTACTTAGGCAAAGTCAACATTCGCTGTTCTGCCGATGAACTCAACTCCTCCCACGCGTTGTTGATGCGTGTTAGTCGGGCTTCTAAGTTCTCAAGTTGGCCAGTTTCAGACAAGTCGACCAATTCACGACCAACTTGTGTGAGGTTTTGCACGTCTGACATTTTGCCAGTAACGTCTTGCACGAGACCCTAAGCGGAGAAAATACAACCACATTACAAAATTGTTCAAAAATGCGGATGAACGATTCGAACAAAGTACTTTGCCGTCAGAAAAAATTGGAAGAAGCCAAGGTATTGACATAAGAATTACGGATTTATACCTTAGCTTAGAACAACTGACACAGGCCGCAGTCACAAGAAAAAGAACACAATTAGAATGATAACTCATAAGTATCAACTGATCAGAACACCACCTTGTAATACTTCGCTTGACGACTGGTAGATTCAAACGTCAAAACGAAACCTTCGCGCATTTTTACGTCTTTAGAAAACTTTCTTTTCCTGGTTAACATTGTTCTAAGAGTTTTTGCTAATCTGGTCGCTTCGTGGCAGACAAATACATGAACAAGCCTGGATTAAAACTACGACAACATTGCCGGCCATATTAGATTTGAGCGGCGCAGATGCTAATAATTGAGTTAATATTACACTCTTGAATATAGCGATCGTTAAGAAGACACCGAGGCCGGAAATATCTATATTGGCTAATAATCACAAACGTAAGAATGATATTCTTTTGAGTTTCAAACTATATTGCTAGAACTCCACAGGAGTCCCTTGAATGCACATAAAGAGCCCAGCAATCACTCCTGCTGCGGTGAAGAAAACTAACTCCAGATTGATTGAGATCGCACAATATCGGGTTGACAAGTTGAAGATATACTAACCTGCTACCAGGCGTTCCTTTTACAGGGGAAGCACGATACTGTAGTGGCGCAAAAGTTTGTGGGGGCAGGGGATGGGATGGGAGGGGGGGGGACGTGGCAAGGGAAAAAAGAGCACCCTCACTATCCCAACCCCTGGCTTTTGCGCTTCACAAGATTTTGCTCCCTCGAAAAAGAGGAACGTCTGATCGCAAGCTATAGAAACACAAAGAAGGCAATAGTAGGCAAATAAGAAGCAAGAATGGCTTAGGATGAGTTCAACTAAACCGTATTGGAATTGACGAAAACATATAATTTAGTAACGTAGAAAAAAAAAACCAAAAAGCAATACTGAACCAGGAAGGAGCAGTGTAATGCTAAGAATGGACAAGATTGACACGGATTGTACACAAGCTCAAAATATTAGTTTAGTAAGATAGAAAAACACAAAAGAGATAATAATAAACCATAACAGATTGCGAATTACTACAAAATCTTATTTCTTTAAGATAGAAAAACACAAAAACAGCATTGAACCAAGAAGGACAAGATGGCTGAAGATGGAGAAGATGCCTGAAGTTGGTCTTTTGCGACAAACAAGTTCTGTTGGACATCGTGGTCATGATGTCTCAAAAGCTAACCTTGTTCCATTTAATCTCGCCATCCACGTCTTCTGGGAATCCGTCCTCTTCTCTCTTCTTTACTTCAGTAGTCCTGTCCTCCAGCCACTTTTCCAAACTGCTCATCTCACTTTCCAGGCGTTGAGCCAAAGGTAACGCTTCACGGAAAGACTGGAAACGAAATGATCAGCAGTGTTTAACATCACCGGATAAAATTGCTCATTTTGTCTCCCTAATCATGTCAAATTTAGTAAATCTGCGAAATTTTTCTAAACTTTGCAGATTTAACGATCTCGTTTGAGCGAAGTTCGTCACGTCACTCGCTTCGTCCATCGCGTGACTTGCCGTCAAATGAAAAATTTACCTAAACATTCGTGCGACAGCTATCCAAACCCTAAAGCAACAATTTTCATTCGGCATTAAAGAGTGAAAACAGTGAAAACTATCTGCGAGATATTGCAGAAAGATTCTCTTTCAATGATGACTCGTCGATAATTCAAAGTTGTTAAGTAGCGCAAGTTCACCCCGGTACGTTTCAAAATAATAATAATAATAATAATAATAATAATAATAATAATAATAATAATAATAATAATAATAATAATAATAATAATAATTTCCCGGTATCCTTTTAGACTTTAAAAAGTCTTGTTTGCGAGAACTAAATGATTATCAAAATGAATATGCAGCAAATGTGATTGACTTAAAACATTGTCATAATAAATCCAGTAACAAATAACGAAATTTCCACAGGAAAGTGGTTAAAAGAATACAATTTGTGAATCTACATTAATGCATTGTGTTTCCTATTTTCAGAATGTGAAGGGTGAAGTAAGAAATAGGTACACAAACGACCACACAACATGATAACGAGAAACAGAAAAGACTAATAAAGCAACAAATATTCACCACTACAAAGTGATCATTGCAACAGAGGAAAATTACCGCAAGGAATTTCGTTGGAGACTATGGCTTTGTGACCACAACTTTCAGAAATCAATGAACATCCCTGGATTGGATACGATCTGCCTTCATTTAGAAAATTGGGATCGTTTGTTTAAAATCAAAAATGCGACAGAGGGCGAAGTCAGGGGAAAATACGGGGAAGTTTTAAAATGGCTTTTCAAACATTGCTTGAAATTGATTTGACGAGTTCGCAATCCAAAACGTAGGAATAAATATTAAAGTTTAAAGACTAATCGTAAATGCACGCTCTTTTCCAGTTCAAAACTCTTCTACCTTTGCATCTCACCAAAAACCGCATTCTTCCCGAGGATTTCAATGCAACCAGTGTGATGAGTTAACTACTGCCGAAGTCTGGTAACATATAGCTCAAGCGATAATTTTGACTGCAATCACACAATCCAACGACGCCGTCGGAATAATTAATACAAAGGGAATGAAAACAGATGTCATAGCTTTATCAGTAACGATCAGGGAGGGTCCGCTATGAAAATCCAATGAAAGAATAAACTGCAGATTTTGTTTTCGATTTCATAATTGTTGAAGTCGGCGTGAAAAAGCCAATGTTTGTTGAACCAAAAATAGATCACATTTAACTACCAATGAAAGGCAATTAATCTGTACTTTGACGAGAAAGATTTAAACACAAAATAATAAAACCAAAATTTTAAGCTGATAAAATGATTTGCCATCTTCAAGTCACAAGGATCCAAGCAGATCGAAATATGTCAGATAACTGAGGTTTGTCCCCCGACTGTTGCAGACTTCCCCAGAAAGAATCGTTTTAAATAAATTCATCAGCGAATGTTCCGACAAACAGGTGATTACAACAAGGAAAAAAAAAAAAAGAAACATGAACTTAGAGCAAATTCTCAAAATTTGCTAGAAAAGAAATATATTTCAATCGCTATGCTAAAAAGGATGAATAACAAAACAAAGCAAGGTCGAAACAATGTCCATGAGCAATCGTACATAGTAAAAGTATGAAGGAAACCAAGTCAACAAAAAATATGTCGGGTACTTTGATAACAAAAAAAAAAAAACAGAATTAATTGTAAACAAAATCGATCGTCGGCATTTTCAGAATTTCTTGCTCTATGATTCTCTCTTTTTTTTTTTCTATTTTTCCGCTCTTTAGTTAATAGGTTTCTTTTAGTTTCTTGATCCCCCGGAAAGGATTCAAAACGTTGGCTTAGATTCTACATGGGGGGTCTCCCGGAAACCCTTAGTGGGTTTTTAAAAATGTGTCAGTGGCAAAACACGATAGAAGGAAACTAATTGAACGAGAAATTATAATTTCTCGATGTCCAGTGGAGAACGAATTGTTAAATTAAAAATGATAGAATTCAGATTTACACCACTACAAAAATACTGGAAAAAGTAACAAAATCTGAACGCTAAGAAATCCCCAAGTAATCCCTAAGTAATCCCTACCGTTCGGATCTTGCACAAAAATAACAAACCAAGACTCTCTCGTGATTTTCACGCTTTGAAAATGTAACGAGATTACTAACCAGAAGTCACGAACAAGTCCAAGAAGATTTCGTGTTCTTCAAAACTTACCGCAATCCAAATTATTTCCCGATTTAAGACTTTCACCAAATGCCGCACAAATTAAAGTAAATTAGACGTGTCCACCTTCTCATTAGACAAACCTGATTTCCGAAAATAAATTCCCACAGAAAACAGACGTGGTGAAGCCACAGGATTTTCCTCCGGTAAAGAAGTTAAGAGTAATAGTTTCGACCACGTCAGCTCAGTAATATGCTAAAATCAACTCTCGACTGGTTTAAAGCACAGCTGGAATTAACAGCGCTAACGAACTTTGCCCTTTACATCATGATCAAACGGAAACCAGGCTATTATGCAAGAGAACTTCTTAGAGCAACGACAGGCGAGATGACGAACGGAGAATTCAAAATTTAGGGTCGTAAAGTACGTTCAATATTACAGACAAACAATGACACGACCCGACCTGAAAGAAGCGAGAGATATTTTGATCCCTCTAATATAAAATAGTGCACAGAAAATCCCACTATCTTTAACTCTTATTTTCATTACAGCGCATGCACTAACCTCTTCCTTGCTTCGTACTTTCTTCTCCAGTTCTCTGTGTTCATGTACCACTTCTTCCACTCGTTTTTCGACCCCAGACCTTTTTTCTTCTGGAACACGCTCCATAATCTGAAAGCCAAGCTTCTTGACTTGTTCCAAGTCTTTCTTGACTGTGGACAGTTCATCTTTGTAGGACTAGAGAGAGAGAGAATAACTTTGTAATAAGACCAAGTTAAACCGACAACAACCATTATGAACTATCCTCAACGACGTTGCTGAGACGAAGAAAACGCTATGAAACCAAAATACGAGGTCGCTCAGATGCATCCGGTCAAAAATAGGGAAATATGTTTTGCTTACAAGAAATGCGTAAATCGCTCAAAATACTACAATTTTCTAATATAATCGTACACTTGAAAAACAGCAAACGAAACAAGAAATACAACGAAAGAATTTATTTCTTTCCTGTCTGAAATGAGTATCACAAATTCTTTGTGAAAAAAAATCTCCCTTCTCGCCTAGAGACGCGCGTGATTAACCCGAAGCTCCTTAGAAAACTGTATAAAATAGAAAAAAAGAGATGACTTACGGTTAGTCTAATTAGCTTAAAAAACGAAAAACTCCGACAAGTTTCTGCATCTTCACTGCAGGATTTTAAAAGTTTTTAAAGTTTTTCAGTAGTAAACTCTACCACCAACATTCGCGGCAAGAAGCGCACTTCATCAAAACAAAATAAAAATAGAGGTTGGTTACAGAAATAAAATAATTCGTGAGACGGTTCGAGAAGTGCTCGCTTTTACCACCGAGTTAAAAGGAAAATACAAAGACAGAGAATGGAAGAACAAAACGCGAAACATGATTACCTCAGCTACAGATCGCAGCTTGTTACAAAATGACGAAAACATGATCCCGCAAACTGTACTCACAAATAATCTGCATTAGAAATCTGCGAACTTTTAAAGACCACAGAAGAGAATATCCTTGCTCAAAACAATCACTTCAGGAGGTCATCTTAAAACAACTAGCTGTAATTTATTTTTAAAATTCTAACGGAACTTTAATTTAGAGCCAAAAGAGAGTCAATTACAACTGGCTGGAATCCAGTTTTCGAGTTTAGTTTTCACTCTGTGGAGTTTGAAATTTTCGAGAACAGGGCATTTGTAAGTAAATAAGGTCTGTCTCAGATTTGCCAGCAGAGAGACCTTTGTACACACAATCAATATTAAAAATATTGTTTACTCTTCTAATTTACATCAAGACAATTACAAAAGCTCGATCTCAAAACAAACATTTTACCACCCTTATTGTAATCCCGAAACATGGAAACCTCAAATTATCTGAAGATCTCGCCTCAAAACCAAAATAGGTTGCGTTTATCAACAACTTCACCAAAATTGCATTCGGGAAGTAATGAAAGGTAGTCCTCTTGATTAAATAATTTCTCCCTGTGCGATATGAGAAACTTTGTTTAAAATCTAAACAACAGATGACTTGATAAACTTTAAAACGAGTCTCGGAGAGTTCAAATTGGATATGAAAATCAATTGGCAACAAAAATTTAAACCAAAATTACAATTTCGTGACTGCTTTAGAAGCACTGCATATTTTCACAGAAACTAGTAAAGCTTGTTTATCAACAGGAAGTACATAGTTATTACTTATTCGATTAATTTTGAACTGGGGTCATGCACACAGATTTTTTGAATGCCAAATACAGTTTCATCCAAAACAAATCAAGAGTCTCAAACTGATGTTCAGAAAAAAAGCCTTAACACGTTCGATGTCAAAATATATTTTTACTTTACGAATGTTTTAAGAATTATATGCAGGACCAGCACAGCTAAAAAGAGTCGGTGCTATTCATGACAAAGGGTGACATTTAAATTGTTTACAACTACAACGTGTTATTCAGATGCGACTGCATGTTTACGCCGAGTGATAAACGACGATCCTAAAAAATAGAAATAATAATAATAATAAAAATAATAATAATTATAATATAATAATGATAAATAAAAGAATAATACTCATAATGTAATAAATATATAATTATATCAATAATCACCATTTTCAGAGTATACCTTCTCGAATAAATAATCAGTTAACTTACCATACATTTATCCAAAAGACTTTTGATATTCCTTGGCTCAGCGGACTCTAACTTTAGCTTTTTCACACCTCTATGTATTTTATCCAAATCAGTCAATGTCTGACCATGAAGTTTGTCAAACTCCGCCTCGAGTTTTTTTCCTGGTTGCTCTTTGACTTCTATAAACTTAGTGTGGATTGTTGTCCATTTAAGTTTAATCTGGTCCAGTTCCCTTAACAACTTGAGGTAGACAGATCCTTTGGGGGTTTTGCTGAGTTCCGTTGCCGTTGATTCCACTGAGTTCATTAGAGACTGGTTTAGGGCGAACTCTTCTTCTAGAGCCTGTTATAAAGAAGAAACGTCCCCCATCATATAATCATCATTCGCGTCTTTATCATAGGAACACGATGTACGATCTGACTCTGAACGGTTCAAGTAAAATTTTAAAATAATTTTTCGACTTTGTACGAGGTGCATTTTACACGACAGCCATGAAATCCATTTAACAAATGAATTTACGAAAGTGTTTCAGTAAAAAAAAAAAAAAAACTGTTGATTATTTCCTCGTTCGGCTAAATGGGAGATAAGTAAACTGTTATTCTGAATGACCACATTATTTTCAACATGCCAGTGTGTTTGGTATTTTCTGTTTATAGTCTGTCTATAGAATGTCTACCTGAATGTCTGTCTGTCTCGCCATTCTAGTTATCTAGTTATCTCTCCATGAATCCGTCAGCCCGTCAGTAATTCAGTTTCTTGTTTTAGTTTGTTATTTACACGTACCTTCATTTCCCTCTCATCCATCTCTTCGTGTTTGGTGAGTTTCGAGTTAATGAGAACTTCAATCTTCACAAACCACATCCTAATTGTCTCCAGGTCTTTCTTCATCTGTTGTCTTCGCTGTATTTCTCCTTCAAGAACCTGGCGTGTTTTGTCAACTTTACCTTTGATGTCGGACAACCGATCCTGATAATAATGAAAAAAAAAAGCCAGGATTAAATCAGAGAATAGAAGGATGTACGGAAACCTGATCCTTGGTCAAGAACCAAGAGTCGCTTTTACAAAGTAATAAGTACTTATCTCACCTCATACTCGTCCATATTTTTTCTGATCACATTTACAGCGATTCTTTTACTCGTCAGCTGCCTGGCGAGTTCTGATACTGAGCCTGGACCGCTTTCCTTGATGGCCGCAAAATGACGATTTAGATTCTAAAAAGAGAAAAACAGAGGTACACTGAAAAGTTATATATCTAAATCTAAATCTAAATATCGTTATGTCGGCAAAATCGTTTAGGACATCACGACTTACAAGTGGCTTATAAAAGACATAAGACAACTAACATTGGCAACATTTCAATCACCCGTCACCTCCGGAGCTTATCAAGGATTCTGTGGCATGAAGCGACTAGGACTACTGTCAGGACTCCCTTGAGTATTGTCACTACCCCTGGTGGGATGTTAGTCAAAACCATAATTGATCGCCCAGCCCTGGGGCAGGTTTCTCCGACAGTTTGTTCCGAATTAACAACCTTCGGGCGAGGGAAAGCACTGCTAGTCTTTATAATATCAAGCGTTTGGACCAACAAAACAACACAATCAAGGCCTTCAAGGTCTTACGATCCTGAATCAATTGCGCTGACCATTGGGCCAATACGTCAACCACATGTATTAGTTGAATCCTGTTTACTGACCCTCTGTTCCTTTGCAGTTCATATTTTTAGTTCAGAATCTTTCAGAAGCTTACCCTCAGAGCTTCTTCAAGTTCGGTTTCAGTTCCTTCGAGCACATGATAACTCTTCTCCACCACTCGATCCAGTTCACCGATCAGCTTCTTGTCTCGCTCAATCAACACATGAAACTGCTCCAGTTCTAACTGAGTCTGCTTGAACTCGTGTTGCCGCTGTGCAACCTTTGTCTTCAGTCGGTTCCAATCGCCATTCAGCTTTTTCAAGTTTTCTTTAAGGAGGGCGGGGCTTCCCTGTTTTGTGCGGTCAACTAATTGATTTCCAGTCGTGTTGATTCGAACAACTACTGGCGCACGCTTCGATATATCTTGTTGTAGTTCCTGTAAAAAAGTATTGTGCCACAAATTTAGGTATTAATTAGTCGAAGACTCTTTTATAAACTTGCGATACAAAAAAAGAAACTTCTTATATACCCATAGAATAAAGGCGGCAAGTTGCTAAAATAACTGTGGTGCTGCGTCGGTAGGGGTAACAGGTAATGTAAATTGGCTACCGTACAGGGTTTCAAAGCTGACGTTTCGAGCGTTAGCCCTTCGTCGGAGCGAATGACGAAGAGCTAACGCTCGGAACGTCAGTTTTGAAACTATTTACAGTGGCCAGTTTACATTATCAACTCAGTTGATAAAACCAAATCACACATAGAATAACCAATTTTGAAAAAGAAATGTAACGAATATATTCCCGTTCAGGAGATAAAACGTTTTCTTTAATACATAAAAATCGAGTAACATGATCCCTCACCCAGGCATCCAGTTCTTCTTGGACACGTATTCCTACCTTATAATGGTCCATCTTCTCCTTGGAGATTCCACCACTCGTGATCTCCCCCTCATCATCAACAATAGACCTCTCCACCTGCATGATCCAATGGCTGATCTCCTTCATGTCGTGAGTCAACTTTTGATATTTCTCCAAAGCTGCCACTAAGTTATCCTTCACCCTGAGCGACACACGCACCAGCTCGTCCCAGCGCCCGTTTAGTTCATCCAATTCATTTTTGAGTTTATCGGCATACGCTGGTGAAGCTTTGCTTATCATGTATGTTCCAGTTTCATTCAAAGAGTCCAATTTGCGCTGAAGTTTAGTCACATCGCCTTGCAAGGCCTGTGAAACAATATTGGGGTAACAGAAACATTGAGACAAAGAGAAGCTTTCTGTGATGATCTGGTTATCCACATCATTAACGAATAAAGTTCAAGTATTTTTCTTGAGAACTAAGTAAGAGTGAAGGTAAGGAAAAATTTGTCTCCAAAGCTAAGTGAACTGACCTCGCTCTGGTCCAGCTGAGCCTCCAATGTTTCCGGGTCACCAGCAGCAGATTCCTGATCCTTGAGGAAATCATTGGCGTCCGTCAGCCATTTAAACAATCCTCGGATCTCTTCCGTAAATTGTCGAGTTTGGTTGACGGCCTTTCCAACCTGACAAAGAAACTTTGTTACAACAACCAGGAACTTTCCCTTAACACCATCCAAAGACTTTCGTATTTCTGGCAAAATCGGAGGAAAACATTATAATTTTCCTTCATAATACCTGTCAACTAATGACAGCTCGTCAGAAGCGTTTTCTGAAACTAAAATCAATAATAAAAAGGAAACTTTCTAGAATCTTTTACACGAAGTTCGGAGTAAAAGGGCTTTCTTACCTGGTTTTGTCGCTTCTCAGCATGAAGATTGATGTCTCTCCATTTATCATTTAAGTCTGCAAGCTTCATCCTAAGCTGTTCTGATCGCTGTCGGGGAAGAGACTTCACAAACTTGTCTCCAGTGCTGTTGAGATAGTCCATGTTCCCTTGCTGTTCAACCATGTTTGCTTGCAATTGCTGTTGAAGAGAAAAATTAATACTTCTTACCAACGAAGCTTTCAGCCCAAAGAACATTGCAGGCTGTAGAAAAACAACTACATTAGTTGTTACAAACGACAACATGGGATACGAATCTTTAGGAAGATAAATAACTTTGTTGAGGCTCCCTTGCAATTCATAGCGTGAGATATGTCTTGTTACAAGGTAGAAATACTGGCCCGTAGTTTAAGTGCTTTGTAAAGCTTTTCTATGATTTTTCTTCCTTTTCTTCATATCCATAACACCCGACCTCGTGCACTCGTCCCTCGTTTTGCAGCTAACATATCTTAAATTCGCAGAAAACATTTTCAGCCCTGCGCTCAGGGAGTTGAGTGGCTTTCTGCTGAACTCATTGCAAACCTCTGACGCTAGCCACACATTAAATGACACTTCTCTAAAGACATAAATTAATCATGACACTCCTACCCACCTTGTACTTCTGTAACTGTTCCTCAAGAGAAGCTGTATCAGAAATAAGAAACTCCGAGCCAAGTTGAGACTCCATGCTCTTGATCTTCAGCAGGACGGTATCCATTGTGCTGAGGAACTGCTTTGGAGGCCCAGACTCCAGTGCGGCCGTCAGCTGTCTCTGTCTATCTTCTAGCGTCGCCTGTGCTTTTGTCCAGCGGTCATCCAGTCGTTTCACTCCAGACTGGAGGTGTGGGGTGTGTCTGTCCTCTTTACTCAGTGTCCGCGACAGTTCACGCACTTTGATCATGGAGACCTCATTGGTGGACATTTCCTCGAGTTTTATCTACAGTGGAACAGTTTATGTTCGTGTCAACTCTCACGTTTGCTTAGTCGGGTCTTCTGCAACCCAGTGTGGATGACTACATTGTTTTTAAAAGGAAAATCATTTGGAATTAAGAGAACTGAGTTCAGAAAGCTGGTAATCGACCATTGAAGATTGGAACCAGAAGAGAGGAGGTGAGCTATAAAGGATTTGATTCCATTCCACCCACTCACCTTACATAACTCCAGTTGTGATTTCATCTCATACTCATTCTCAGGGACTTCAGTACTGAACTTGTTAATGACTCTCTCCACATCCTTGATCACTGCTTCTAGAGTTATCATCAAGTCTTGTACCTCCCGCCTTCGACGCGCCAGCAGAGCTTTGTGCCTACGATCATCAATCAAGCTACTAACGGTATTCCAGCGGTCGGTGAAGTTGCTAAGCGACTGTTCAAGTGACACTGGTATGTTGCCTTGACTACGGCAGTACTCGATTAACTCTTCTCCCTTTTTCTGTACGGTAGTCACACTTGATTTCCTCTGTCTTCTACCGTTGTCAAGAGTCTGTGAAGGCAAAGGAAAACTCTTCTCAAAAATACATCAAAATCATGGACGCGAGAGACATGTAATCCGTCTACTTCACGCAATTCTTTTTCCAGTTTAGACTTCAATGAATAATGCAACTAAGACCAGATCTAAGCCGATTACATCACTGCAGATCTTTGCATCACACAGAACACCTGTCAAATGTGAACATAGCATGTGTCCCCAGCGAGTTCTCTCTAACAAATCAGACCGCTAAACAGAGCACACAAGCCTAGTTAACAAAGATCTCATGTTAGAGACCTCACCAATTACTCAATCGCCCAGAATGCTATCGTCCTTTGCAGTATATACTTGTAGCATAGAAGAATGGTGATTGATCAACAAATTTAGCGTAGGGATAATATGTCCTATGTTCTTCGTTTGAAACAAATAAAGAGAATCTTTCTCCATTCAACGACCAAACTCAAAACGCCTCGTCTATTTTTTATCTATTACCTCAATTAGGTCGTTCTGTTGAGCCACTTTTTCACTGGAGATGTTTTCGTCATCCAGACTAAAAGCGGGAGACTTAAGCAGAGTCTCTGTATCTGTGATCCATTGACTTTTATCAACCAAGTCGGACAGAAAATGCTGCAGTTTTACGTCCATACCTTCCAGCTACAGACACAAAATCTTATTTAGCATAAAATTCTCTTGTTAGGTGCAATGGATGGGGCGTGAGAAATGAAGCAGTCCCAACGATAGACACGACATGGCTAAACAAGATCTTTAAATAGTGAAATCCCCAATCGGCTTGAATCTTCAAAGCGCATGTATATCCATTGTCATCAGTGGTGGATCTAGGGGAGGGGACCTGGGAGGCCACCCCACTCCTCCCTGATTTTGGGTAAAAAAAAATAATAAACGCAGAAGGAAGAAAAGCAGGCAGGTGTACACACAGCTTAACTCAAGGTCTGGTTCCCCCACTGGTCATTTTAAAGATCCTTTCGTTTAGGTTGTTATGTGCAAGCTGTTGTGTTTTCAAAGAACACGACCGAAAGGTCACACGGGAGGTCCTCGTTTCAATTACCCAGATTATCTATGAAGTTTTACTTCAAAAATCATTTGGCATTTTGAGTTTTAACCCTTTGACTCCCGGGAGTGACCAAGACAGAATTTCTCCTTACAATCGATACAATATTAAGCGACAAGTGGTGAGAATACAGAAAAATATCAATCAGAGGAATATTAGTTGATCCAATACCAAATTCTCCAAACAAACATCATAAGAGTTCTAAGGTAGACAGTGAGGGGAATAACTATTAAGAGCTTGGGAGTGAAAGGGTCAAACAAGAGAAAGCCAGACGAAACACCCGTGAGCGTAATTATTTTGATTAATATTCGATGAGTGCCACACCATTTCTTACCAAGGATATTCTACTGGAAACCTCTGTGGTAATTTTGTTCCATCTGTCATTAAACTCTTCCATTTTGTCTTGAATCTCGGTGACTCCAGGCGAGTCTTCGTCTAAGTTTTCGGCGACTTTCTCGGCAGCAAGATTAAAAGTTCCAAACGTAGCCTGTTGTGCTTCCATTTCTTGCTCTAAACTCTGTGCAAAATAGAAATGATAATGAATAAAACTGGTTACACGATGTTCACAGCGACTGAAGACAAAAACAAATTTCCAGCATCAACGATTACTGCCGGAAATGAAAGTGAAGGTAAATTTTGGCAGATATCAAATACTGCCGAACTTCAATAGTACCATGGCCACGGAATCGCAGACCTCCAAATTAAAGTCAAACCCATGGATCATACTTGGATCACATTGGATTGCTTGAGACTGAAAAAACCACAACAAGAGGGCATGCTGCATATTTTGAACAAGAGGAAGGTCACCCAGACCACACACATAATACTAACCATTAACATTTTGACCGTTTTCTTTACCACATCGCTATCGCCTAAGTCAATATGCTTGATATCTTCAATCTGTGATTCCTTTTCTTTCAGCCACTTGGACAACCTCCTTTCTTCGTCTCTGTACTCTTGCCAGCTCTTCAACACTTCTTGCAACATAGACCACCTAGCATGTAACAAGGAATTTCCCCTTTAAATATCATTAAATTTTCAAGCAAAAAGATGTCAAAGATGACGAGTAGAAAAAAAATTTATCGACTGGGAGATTTTGTCTGCTTTAAAGCCACATTCTCAGAGCTAGGTTTACATATAAAAGAAACGTGTGGCAGACAGTGACGGAAGAGTATTGATACTTAGATCTTCAGACTATCGAATGACTGCAAACGTCACATTGATTGGACAAGACAATTTCGTTTGGCGCGTCACGCAAACAATCCTTCAAAAATCGGGGATAAGATGTAAGAGACTGCGTGACAAGCTAACCGCAGAGATCATCTGTTGATAAGCCACAAGGGACTTGATGCGTGTATAGCTCCATTTAGGATAGTCCATCGTTTTACTTGGGTACATTTACAGGATCGCTTTCCTTACAGATACAAATGGATGAGAAAACTTCAGCATAGCGAATCCGGGACGAGAGACTTCGAGCGAGCGGAGAGAAGATATTACCAAAGATCAACACACAGAATCTTAATTAAGATTTTATCACCTCTGCTCTGTCCACTTGCAAACGTTTGACCAGCGCTCCCCAAGAACCGCCAACTGTTCCTCCAGGTCGGCGGTAGCACTCTCATTGGAGCTCTCATCAACTACAACAACCATGTGCGTCAGTGAGTTCACCTGCACCTGCTGCTTCTCGAGGTCTTCCTGGAAAAACTCTGTGACCCAACAAGGTTAAAACCAACAAATGGAATGTCAGTCAATAGCCTTCGTAGCTGGGGGAACGGTTTGCCATATACGGGCAAAACTAATTTCAATTCATACAATATTGATTACGAGTGCTAAGATTCCGAATCTTTGACGAGTTTACGGAGCGGAGCGTCGAACTTAAAAATGCTTGCCTTGTGTATGCTGAAAAATGTAAATTGACGAGTCATCAACATGTTTTTCCTGTTTGGAGCCGCGTCACTAGTACCCTTTCGAATTATGCCAATTCTGCGCGATTACGAAGGAAAGAGAAGGAGGGATTCATGACAGCAACTATCTATTGATGCAGAATATATAGGCTATCACCCAGAAGAACGCTTGGGTCGGGGAAAAATTATTACGAGATATAACCAAACCCTTTGCAGAACTCTCGACAGCTCGCATCGGTCAGGGCCTCAAACTTTCTCACGGAAGAACAAATGCTTGTGCCGTACCGCTGATAATGAGGGAACACTTATAGGCTAAGATTTTGCAAAATGACAGAAACTCATTTCTTATACTTAAGATCCCATGAATATAATAAGCGCTGTACAGACATTCATATTATGTATTGTAATACTACAAATAAAAAATGAACCGTAGCAATTTAACAGAAAGTGAATCTTGTACCTTGTGGTTTTCCACCTGGCGTTTCACGGTGTCCAGATCAGAGCCAATGTTTTCCGAACTCTCGATTCGCTTTTCGGCCACAGCCAGCCAGTCACCCAACGAATTGATTTGCTTTTGTTGGAGATCCATCAACTGTATGTGAAGCCTGACGCAAGATAACAACAACACAATGTTTTGGAATTAACAAATGGTAAACACCACAGCGTACACTATTGAGTTATGGATGCACGCGAGAGGTTGCTAAGCACAAAAGAAGCGTAAGAGTCGAAAGCATTGAAAAATCGAAGCATTGATAGTGAAGAGTGTATTGAATGTGCATCTTTCTCTGGAAATAAATGAAGTTGGACAATAATTTGGATATATCAACAAAGTTGAAATGGGAAATTGGCCACCGTAACGATTACAAAAGCNTACACCGATTGTTTCTCATTTTGAACTGAGAAGTGCTCCGTTTAAATGTAACTATTGCTAAGCTAAGAAAAATAATGATAGGTCACAAAACTTATTGTCGATAAATTGATGACTTTCCTCTATGGCGAGGTTTGGCCTTAAAGAGAAAGCCGCCATTCTTGCAGGAGCGCGCGCTGATCACACGCCATGGCAGGTGTGATGCTTTCCTATATTTTCTCAGTGATATTTTTATTATTCCATAAAATAAGGTAAACATTTTGCGCGCAATCAAAATGGTAACAGTTTGTATAATGTTTCCTCAAGAGATTTTGAAGGAGTCATTCACAAGAGACTCATCCAAAACAGAAATCAATGGTCTGCTTGAGAAAAGAATTGGGCTAACATTTGAAGTTACAGTTTATTGATAAAAATCAGTGGTCATGGGAGGCCCCGAGGACACTACGGTGGACATCGAACTTTGGACAATTGTTGTTGGAATTCGATTAATTTTCCACCAGTAACGGTGAGATGTGGAGATTCACAACTTTTGACGGCAAAATTTTCACAAAGTGTTAAGTGAAAGGAGTGCGGAAGACTGAGGGCTTTTTATCTTGTGGCGTCGTTCAAAGGTGCCCATCAAAAGCGACTCTGAGTAAGGAAAGTGTTGCATTATTTTAAGATTTTGTGATATTTTCGTAGTGCCATGAAAAGCTTTATTCCGGTAAGGAATTAGTCTTGTCAGGCAAACAAGGCTACAGAACGAATCATTCGTATTTCGGTAAATTGTTCCTGTAAGGAAGTTTAAAAATTTTAAGTTTCGTACATTAAGGATAATCAAGATGAAAACTGAACAACCTTATGAAAAGGTTTTGAAGATTTCTTAAGCTTTCCCTATCGGAAAAATATCTTCTAAATAACTAGGCTAGCGAATAACGCGAGCTTACGCCGGCCATTTTGTTTCCAGTTTTAAGTTCACGCAGTTTTCACTCGTAAGGAACGAATAGTGATCATTATTATCCAACTACACTTCGTGGAGTACAAATAACGCCATAGACGAGTACAAATATCACGCGGTATTTGTACTCTAGAGTACCCGTTAAACAGATTTTCTCGCATCGAGCAAGCGAAGAGTTGAATTCCTCATTTCAAAAACGAGTGGCTCCACTCGTTTTTGAAATGGGAAATTGTAGGTACGAGTGGTGTTTACCATTTTT